ACCCTAGCACATTCTAAATGCGGAATGTGCTAGGGCATGCAGGGCTTCCACGATTTGCTACCGAGTCCTCCTCTGGGACCTGCTCTTCATTCGGGGATCTTCTGACCCGGGTCAATCCAGACCCGGGTCAATCAGGCCTGCAAAATCCTGCAAGATCCTGCACCCAAACCCGGGTCAATGCGAAGGATCCTGCAGGATCCTGCAGGATCCTGCACCCAAACCCGGGTCAGTGCGACCCTGGCGCTGCAGGATCCTGCAAGATCGGGCGCTCTGGCTGACCCCCGTCTGCACTGACCCCCGTCTCGAGGCTCCCGATTCGTCCCGAGCCGCTGTCTGCCGGTCCCTGGGGGCCCAGCAAGGACCTCTGGAGGCCGAACGTGCCTTCGAACACCTTCCGGCGGGACCTGCTCTTCACGACGCGGGGAGATTCGGCACGAAGAACAGGAGGAGGAAGGAGGAGGAGGAGCAGGAGGAGGAGGATGAGGAGGAGGACGACGAAGAGGAAAAAGGAGGAGGAGGATGAGGAGCAGGAGGAGAAGGAGGAGGAGGAGGAGCAGCAGGAGGAGGAGGAGGAGGAGGAGGAGGAGGAAGAGAGGGAGAAGGAGGAGGAGGAGGAGGAGGAGGAGGAGGAGGAGGAGGAGGAGGAGGAGGAGGAGGAGGAGGAGGAGGAGGAGGAGAGGAGGGAGAGGGAGAAGGAGGAGAAGGAGGATGAAAGGAGAAGAGGAGGAGGAGGAGGAGTAGCAGCAGGAGGAGGAGGAGGAGGAGCAGGAGCAGGAGGAGGAGCAGGAGTAGGAGCAGGAGGAGGAGGAGCAGGAGCAGGAGAAGGAGAACGAGGATGAGCATGAGGAGGAGGAGGAGGAGGAGAAGGAGGAGGAGGAAGAAGAAGAAAAAGACTCGGCATTGCGTGTGGTCCCATCCGCTGTGACCTGCAAGCGTCCTGCGTCTGTGCTCGACCCAAGGCTGTATACCTCGCACGATCCCTGGTGAGGCGCTCGTCCAAGGAGGTGTCTGGTTACACACGCACCGTGCAATCCCTCGTGAGAAACTCATTCAGGAAAGAAGCAACTGGCGGCATCTCTCTCGGCCGGGGGTGATGCCCCTCGGGCCTCGACGAGCCCGAGGCCAACGACACTGTGTGCCTGGCTGGGCGTCCAAGGCACCCGCCCCGCCCCGTCGAAAACTCAAGGACAAGAAAGAGTCAGAACAGCGCCCCCCCCCCATAACCTCTCCCCTCCTCCCTCCTCCTCCTCCTCCTCCTGACGACGAGAAAGCACGAAGTAAGGGAGGGGAGGTGTAGGTGGAGGGAGTGCTGGGGGGTTACATCCAACAGCTTCGTACTGAATTGCCGCGCAGCCTGGTCGGGGGTCGGCCGAGAGCCTTAGGAGAGGTGCGTGGTGAATCCGTTCCCACGCGTGAAAAGTAAAAGAAGCGGCCTTGACAGTATCCGCAGGCTACCGTGGCTGAGGCTGAGTGTACAACACATGGCTTGTGGGGTTTTATTATTTCCCGTCTCAGGGGGAGGAGGAGCAGGAGGAGGAGGAGGAGGAGAAGCAGGAAGAGGAGGAAGAGGAGGAGGAGGAGGAGGAGGAGGAGGAGGAGGAGGAGGATCAGGAGGAGGACCAGGAGCAGGAGGAAGAGGAAGAGGAGGAGGAGGAGGAGGAGGAGGAGGAGGAGGAGCAGGAGCAGGAGGAGGAGGAGCAGGAGCAGGAGGAGGACTCGATTCCTGTGCCCCAGCTGGCTCTCGGTCCGCAGCTCGTGCCGCAGACGGACGGTCTGGGCGGCTCCAGCTTGCCCCCCCCTGAACGCCCCTCGGTCGAGGCAGAGCTGGGATATGAATATCCCGTGTGAAATACAGTGGAGGCCCGATCAGAAGAAACCTTCCACACGAAGCCCAACCCTGAGACCCCAGGACGTCCATGGATTCCTGGCGTGGGAAAGTCACGCCTTCCACAGGAACACAAACGAAATCCAAGAAACCCAGGGTACCCTGGAGGCACGCAGGGTGTTTCTTGGCATGGAACGCCACTGTATTGGAAAGGGGTGTGGAAATGATGGAGAACAGCGTAACAAACGACCGAACACTTCATAACACATGTGGAACTGTTCGAAAACTATCCCGACCTCCGATGTCTCGATTCTTTTCGTACGGGGTCTCTGGCGCTCTGGATCACTTGCCGGTGTCGCCCCGGCTCGTTTTTGGACGGTCCCCAGGGCTTGGCAAAGGCCCCCGGATACCGAAAACGACAGAAACATCCGTCTTGCGTCTTGTCCATACTTTCGGAGGCCTGGGTTTGCGAGACGTCGAAACACTGCGGAGCACTTCGGGGGATCTCGCCCTTTCGGGCTCCCGCGGCTCCAAGACGCCGAACCTGTGACCTGGCCGATGATCCTCAGACCGTGTGTTACTGCAAACGTGTGCTTGTCCACCGAGGCCCTTCAATACAACTTGGGCGGCGCAAGGGGCGACACAAGCTGCGCGTTACGTCTAGAGAAACAAGACACGGTATGAACATAAACTTTGAAGGTCCGCACGCATTTTTTGGACCCGCGCTGCGTTCCCCTCCCTGGCGCGCGAACCTCGCCAGGGGCGGCGCCGGAGGGGGCACGGCGCCGATCAGAGAAATCCGCGCGAGCCTCGAACAATCTAGGCTTATGCTCTATACGGATTTGGGTCTTCGCACATCGGCGGAACCGAACTGCGTGTAAACACACGCTTGGGCCAACCCGCGTCCCGAGGATCGTCGACCTGGGCGCGGTGCGCGGGGATAGGCCTCCGGCGCGTCCTCGGTGTTCGCCTCGGGCCAGGGAGGGGGGGGGCCGAGCACGCGCAGTGGTCGGCGGCACAGGCCGGGCGACGGGCCCAAAGCAGGCCAGCACGAGAGCAGCGCGGGCCCCGAAAGCCGGGAGGCTGCTCGAGAGATGACTTGTTTTTCCGGCCCTGCCGTGTGTGGGCTTCTCGTCCTGACTGGAGCACTGTGGTCTCCATCCTTCCCCTCCCCCCTGCGAGCTGCGCCACACTGTAGGCACACCCGTGGGCTCCTGGGACCGAGGTCCAGCGGAGCAAACTGTCGCGCGGATCCAGGCCGGCACGAGGCCAACTCGGGCCCTGAGGGGAGGGTGCTCCTCTGAGCGACGACCTCACGCGGTGGCTTGCGCGGCCCGCCATGGCGGCACGCTACATTGGAAGCGAGGGCGCTGACGCGCGACCTGACGCGGGAAGCTTGCGCGCGCATGTCGGCACAATCGGCACCGTGTTCTTCCGCCGCTCCACTGGGTGGGGTCAAGAAACGAGGGTCGGGGAGATGTAAGACTCGGGTTCGGAGGACTCGGGTTGGCCTGACGGGGCCGTCAGGAACATGACGAGACCCAATCTGAAACTTGACGCGAGATCTGGCTGCAGACGTGCCACGAAAACTGCACCGTTGAAATCTGGGACGCGCTCGTCAACAAGCCACGGGCGAGCCCGAGCGCCGGCGGATTCGAGCCCCTGAAGTTCGGGGCAGCGTAAGGGGGGGACTGCCAGAAGGGGGGGGGACACGTCGGCCTGGAATCCGATTTCTACACCGTTTTAACATTATATTATCAAATTGAAGCGGGGAACCCGTGGAAATCGGATCCGCGGACCCCGGAACCCACCCGTGTTAAGATTCTACGGGGGAATCGGCGAGGCATCGCCGAGAAGTGGGCGGTAGGGCCCCCGAAAGCGCATCCGCACATGCCTGAGCAGTCCGGGGCCGTCGGGCCCCACGTCGGCGACGAAGTGGGCGATCGGGGGTCTCGACGCAGGCCCCCCCTGCGCCCCTGACGCTGCAGCTGAGTCTTTCAAGGGGCCCGAGGACGCACAAATACATACACACACATATAGCATGATTCCCCATCTTTTTCCATGTCTTCTGGGTTTTTGTCTTCCCGCCCAGTTCCCATGTTTTCCCATCTTTTCCTGGGAGTCGACGATTAATTGTGTCTGTGTGTTTTTTTCCTCCTGAGTCTTACGTTTCCCCGAAGGGGGGGTGGGGAAGAACCGTGCGCCCTTCGGGCGCCTGCGGAGCCCCAGAGGGGGCTCGCTGCGGGATCTGGGGGTCCCCTCTCCTGCATCCCTGCCCCTTCCCCCTCCCCCCCCCTTTTATCTGAAGGTGCCCAGGGGCACACACAAATGCATGAATCCAAATCCCGAGGTGCTCCACAACTTGTCGCATGTTCTGGATGCGATGCTCGTCTTCCCCTCCGCTTCCCATATGCTCCATGCTTCCCTGGGATCCGGCGATTCTCTGCGCCTGTGTGTTTTTTCCTTCCCGATTATCGTCCCCCATTCTTGCGAAACGCCCACACAGAAGCCGATCGGAACAGGCTGCGGCTGGGTGACAGAGCCAACGCCGACAAGCAACAAGCAGGTCCCGAGGGAAACTGGTCCTGGAGCCTGGGGCTTCCCCCCGGAGCAGTGTTCACCCCGTGAGTGGAACCTTCGATTTCCCACAGGAAGCCCAAGGACAACCTCAGGAAAAAGCTGCAACACGAGTCAGGAACACTGAGGCCCTCCCCAACGAACAAAACAAGGGTTCCTCCGTCCGCGGCCGGACTGTAGACCCTGCCTTTCTGAGGCATGTGTCGAGCTGGATCGATCTGTGATGGTACAGTGCGGCACCCAAGAATATACACCACCACCACCACGTCGATTCAACCCCCCCTCCTCCACCCTCGTCTTCCTCTCCTCTTTCCTGGGAGAGGCAAGGGCTGAGGGAAGTGGTGGTGGTGTACACCCTTCGGCCCCCGTATCTGGTTGGCCTGACGCTGGGCGAAGGACGCCCAGCGAGAAGCGAGCGCAGCGCCCAGATCTCTGGCCATCGCTCGGACGTCCATTCCCTATGTTGTTTTCGGTTTCGTGCGTGGTTTCTTCGCCAAGTGATCAAGGATGCTCCTCGATGGTCCTCGCCGAAGGAAAAGCGCACACGTCCGAGCGATGCCAAGAAATCTCTGCGAAAGGGAAGACGCGCGCGACGTGCCCACACGATGAGCGCGTACAGCTGCACGAGGGCATTGGGGGCCGACTCCAGGATCGCCTGCGCGACCGCGGGCCATGGCGGGCATCGAGGCAGGAGGCTGCGCAGCCGAGGAGGTGCCCCTGAAGGGGGAGGCGCAGCCATCGTGCAGGGGCGCAGGGGCCCCCCCTGGCCACAGCACGCCTCCTGGGAATCCACGAAGAGGCCCACTTGCAGCGACGGGCATCCTCCTGCGCCCCTAAAAGGGGCCCTTTATGCCGGCGTCCTGACTGCAGGGCAAGATGAGCCCCCTTCCGGTCCAGTTCTCGAGGGAAGTGGACGAGAGGTGCCCCCCCCCACAAAAGGTGGTGGGGAGCGGGGGGGGGCGGGGCCGTGCGCTTCCACTGCCCCAGCTGCATGCAGTGACAGCGTGGTGCTCTCCGCTCTCCAACATGGATGGCTCGTTTTCGAACCTGCCAATTTCGCAACACGAATGGGACGCGGCGCACGTCGCGCGCGAACACACGAAGCATCACATTGTCACGTAGTCGGCACGCCTGAAGCCACTGAATTGCTATCGTCATGCCCGCCCGCTTCGCATGAGAAAGCGCTTGTGCAACGCATGAGTACGTCATCGTATCGAACATATGCGTGGTGAGTTGACGTAGTGTTCACTCCGTTTGTCATTTCGTGTGCGTGCTAAGCTGCGCGCTCGCATGCGTATGTGGGCTCGTGCGGGTTTGGCAGCGTGGACCACGCGTGCGCGAGGAACCAGTCAACCGTTGTCCTGGACAAATCATAAGCCGACTCAGCCATCTGATCATGTCGAATGGGGGTCCACGGGTTCACACGCCGCGCTGGTTCGGTGCGATGAAACCTAGACTTGCCACTCACAACGTGCTGCCTCTGGACGGCGACGCACACACACAGACACACCCACACAGACACACACACACACACAGATAGACACAACCACACACACAAACACACCTACACACACAGACGCGCACACGCACACGCACGCGCACACGCACACGCGCACGCGCACGCGCACACGCACTACGCGCCCGCGCATGCACACGCACACGCGCACGCACACGCGCACGCACACGCACACGCAGACGCACACACGACACACACACACACACGCACACGCACACGCACACGCACACACACACACGCACACGCACACGCACATACACGCATACACGCACACACGCACGCGCACGCGCACGCGCACGCACACGCACACGCACACGCACACGCACACGCACGCACACGTCCGCGCAAACACACACACATTCACACACACATTCACACACACACATTCACACACATTCACACACAAACACACGCACACGCACACGCACACACACCCACACACACACACACACACACACGCACGCACGCACGCACGCACGCACGCACGCACGCACGCACGCACGCACGCACGCACGCACAGACACACAGACACACAAGCACACGTAGAGACACAGACACACAGGCACACAGGCACACAGAGACACAGAGACACAGACACACAGAGACACAGACACACAGACATACCGACATACCTACAGACAGACAGACAGTCTGACAGACAGACAGACAGACACACAGGCACACAGACAGACACACAGACAACCACACAGACAGACAAGCACACATGTACACAGGCAAACCGATACACAGAAACAAAAACACACAAACACAGACACACACACAAACACCGAACGACACACACACACACACACGCACAAACACACACACAAACACACTTTTTTATATGCGGGGCGAGAGCGAACCTCTTCCGCTAAAAGCTAGGCGGGCTATGCACAGCTTTAATTAGGAAGACGGGACACACAGGCACATACACAGAAACGCACCCAGGCACACACACAAACACACACAGACACACACACACACTCGCACGCATGCACGCACGCACGCACACACAAACACACACACAGACACACAGACACACAGACACGCAGACACACAGGCAGACACACACACACACACTCTTTTTGCGTCGGCGGCTGGGCAGAGGTCGACTGCTCTGGCGGAATGGCGACAGGGGACACGCTGTATGCCACGTGAGGCCGCCATGCATGGGAGGAGGAGGAAGCCCCAGCGCGACGGCGGGAACACACAGACACACACATATATGCACACACACGCACACTCTCACACGCACACGCACACATTGCGAGAATAGCGATCGTCTTCAGCCCGTCAGCTGCGATCCAAGGTTACTGAGCATCTGGCATCAACTCCTACAGTCGACACGTAGAATAAGGATGCACGGACTTTGCGAGCGGGGCGTGGCCAACGAAAATGGCCAAGAATGGGCCGAAGGAGAAGGATGCAAGGGTAGCCCTGGAACGTCGCACATCCTTCGAGTGCGCGTTGGCTGTATGCCCAAGGCGGAGACCAGATGGCCGCCATCCCGCGCCCTCCTACGTCTGCACCCGCATGGCATCACCGAAGGGCGGCGCGCACGGGGTGTCGGCGATGCTGCGGAGTGGGACTTCCATGGGTCGCAGCAGCGATGCAGCTTTCATCGTCGGTGCCCTTGTCGACGATCGACGGTCGAGGATTTGCACTCCACGCGTCTAACAAAGATGCACGATAAGGGTGCATGGGGCCTTGGAAGGCCATGCCCACACTCGTCCAGTGGGGCGCGGCCAGCGGAAGTGGCCAAGGATGGGCCGATGTGGAAGGCTGCAAGGGTAACATTGGAAAGTCGCACATCCTTGCAGTGGAGGCCCGACCAAAGAGAAACAGTCCACGAGAAACCCAACCCTGAGACCCCAGGACGTCCATCGATTCTTGGCGCGGGAACGCCACGCCCTCCAGAACAAGAGACCACCGACACCCAGGCAACCCGGGGCACCGTGCTTCTTGGCATGGGTCCCCACTGCAGCTTTAGTATTAGGTCGGGCATGTCCTCCTACAGGCGGATTTTGGACGACAAATAAAGCATCAAACACATTATTCTAAATCGTCCCCAGACTATGTTTTCACTGTTTCTGCATCTTTCTCCTGTAGAGGGACACGCCCGACCTAACTTTAGTCGCGCGCGTGTGGGCGGTTCTGGAGGCTCCTCCGAAGGGGGCTCTGGGGGGCAGGCCGCCAGCGCGTACCCCTGGGGGTGGCGCGAGCGCGGCGCGGGCGGGGCGGCCTTCCAGGACACGGCCGGCTTCCAGAGGCGGCGGCGGGGGGGGTCCTTCTGAGAGGCCCTCCTCGGCCTCCAAGGAGGCCCTCTTCGGAGCCTTTTGGGCCCTCCCAGGGCGGCCCCCTGCCTTCGAAAGACGCCCCGCGCCCCAAGACCAGACTGCTCTCCTCGCGCCACATCCCTGCGCGTGGCCACTCAGGAGATGAGGAGGAGGAGGAGGAGGAGGAGGAGGAGAGGAGGAGGAAGAGGTCTGAACATCCCCTGGCAGAGAGAGAGAGAGAGAGGAGGAGGAGGAGGAGGATGAGGAGGAGGAGGAGGAGGAGGAGGAGGAGGAGGAGGACAGGAGAGGAGGAGGAGGAGGAGGAGGGAGGAGGAGAGGAGGAGGAGGAGGAGGGGAGGAGGAGGAGGGGAGGAGGTAGGGGGAGGAGGAGGAGGAGGAGGGAGGAGGAGGAGGGGGAGGGGAGGGGAGGAGGAGGAGGTGCATCGGGGGTTGCCTGCCCCTGCCCCCAGACTTTCGCTCCACGTGGGAGCCTCTGGGCCCCTCTGGGCTTCGCGAGGGGTGCCCCGGAGGCCGTGGTGGCCTCCCTGGAAATCCCGGGGGCACCCGGGGCCACTGCGCATCGAACTTCTGCAGAGGGGCCCAGGCCGTGAGGCTGCAGCCCTCGACGACCGCGCCGCTGCGACGCTCTGCCGCGCGGCTGGGGGCGTGGGCGAGCGCGCGCAGGGGCTCTCCTGTCGGTGCGTCTGGCCCTCTCTGCGCCTCTACTTGGCGGCGCGCACAAGGGGGCGGAGGGAGGGGGAAGGGCCTTTAAGAAGGAGGCGGCTTCTTAGAAGGCGCGGGCCTTACATGTATAGGTAAGGCCCGCGCCTTCTGAGAAGCAGGGGTGCTTCTAAGAAGCCCTCCCCCCTCCTCCCCCCCTCTGCGCGTGGCTGATCTACGACGGCGATCCTCCCGCGTCCCCAGCGCGGCTTGAGAAGGACCACGCGTCAGGGCTCGAGCTGAGCAGCGCTCTCCGTGCTCGTTCTGCTCTCGTTGTCCCTCGCCCTGTCTCCCTTTCACCCTCGGGGGGAGAGTCAGTTTGGGCAGGGCTCTCTCAGGAGGCTCGGAAGGCCTCTGGCATTCGCATGGGGGAAAGACCTGGGGTCCAGACCCGGTTTCCGTACGGACCCCTTGTCCCCAACCCTCTTGTGTTGGGCTCTTGTTTTGAATAGGGCACTGTGGTCTCCATCCTTTCCTCCTGTCTCCCCCTCCTCCTCCTGCTCCCTCCCTTCCTCCTGCCTCCCCTCTCCTCCCCTCTGAGAAGTTTTCTGAGCAATCTCCGAAGACGCAAAAAACGTTTCAGAACGCGCAAGGGCTGCCGAGAAGCTGCGCCGCCCTCTGAGAAGGCCTCCCCCGCCTCTCCCCCCTCCAGCTCGCCGCCGAGCCTCACGACTGGCCCGGATCGGCCGAACGACTCACAGGAGAGCCAAGGATCGGGTTGATAAGTCGGATCGGCGATCGAAATGCCTCGGATCGGCGGAGATCGGCAGCCGAGTCGGGAAGAGTCGAAGCGGCAGAACTCGGCGAGCTGGTGAGGCCTCAATACGAGAAATCGGCATCGAAACCGGAATCCGAAACCGAGTCGAATCGGAATCGGAGACCAGCGAAATTCGGGTTTACTAAAACGTGGTTTAGTGAAAACGACTCCGGGCCCAAACCTGGCGGGCGCAAGCCTGGCACAGAACGGCCGCGGCGCCCTCTCGAGAACCGAACACGGACACTTCACCAGTCGACGTGTCAGGGTAGGAGGTCTATCCACCTCTGGGAAATCGACGGCGGCGGCGACGACGACGACGACCGACGGCAACGACGACAACCGACGGCGGCGACGGCGCCGTCGACGTCATCGACAACGGCGGCGACGGCGCCGTCGACGACGACGACGTCGACGTCGACGATGACGACGACGACGTCGACGACGACGACGACGGCGAAAACGACCGCTGCGGGCGAGCGCAAAGGCAGAAGTCGACGTGTCAGGGTAGGAGGTCTGTCCACCTCTGGGAAATCGAATCGAGCCCGAGGGGTCGAAGTGAGCCCTGCACCCGTGGCTCGCCGCCGAGCCCCACGACCGGCCCAGAGCGGCCGGACGACCCCCCCCCCCTGCCTCAAGCCATGCCTCGACGACGCCGACGACGACGACGACGTCGACGACGACCGACGGCGACGGCGACGACGACGGCGACGGCGACGACGACGACGACGACGACGACGGCGGCGACGACGACGACGACGACGACGACGACGGCCGACGGCGGCGACGATGACGACGACGACCGACGGCAACGACGACATCGACGACGAAAACTACGACGACGACGAAAACGACGACGACGACGACGACGACGACGACGACGAGCGACGGCGGCGACGGCGCCGTCGACGTCATCGACAACGGCGACGACGACGTCAACGACGACGTCGACGACGACGTCGACGACGACGTCGACGATGACGACGACGACGAAAACGACCGCTGCGGGCGAGCGCAAAGGCAGAAGCCGAGGGCACGGCGCTGGCACGCGCCGAGAAGGCGGGCCGGGCACCCCGCGAGGCCCTGCGGCGGGTTCGCGTCGTGTCGACCCCCCGCGCTGGCGGCCCAAACTCAATCTATGTTGATCAAGGGGCCCCAGGACACACAAATAAATACACACAAATAAAAAGTTTCCCCATATTTTCCCATATTTTCTAGATTTGTGTCTTCCCCCCCACTTCCCATATTTTCGCATATTTTCCTAGGGATCGACGATTAATTGTGTCTGTGTGTTTTTTTCCCTCCTGAGTTGACCGATCTGACGCTTTGGAAACGGCCGATCGTTCAAGCTTGATCCATTCCCGGGGAAAGCTTCGCAGATTGAGGCTGCTTCCTAGAAGGCGCGTGGCCCTACATCAACAGACAGGGCCCGCGCCCTCTGAGAAGCGGGGGTGCTTCTGAGGAGCCCTCCCCCCTCCCCCTCCCCCTCTGCGCGTGGCAAATGTTACCTGCCACTGCGGGGATCGTTCAAACTTGAACGATCGGCCCTGTCCAAGCCGTCAAATCGTTCAACATCGACCGGTCGTGGGTCGCCAGCGGCGTACCGCGTGGAGCGACGGCGGCAAAGCCGCCGCCTGTCGACACGACGCGAACCTACTGTGAGAGATCCCACTAACGCCCCCGATCCCACAACCGAGAAACGCAATGCGCCAACTGTAGAGCGTTCTGGCCAGGCCACGCTACAGCAATCGTGGTAATGTTGCTTCACAGAACGACCCCACAGGGTGGCTCTCTACCGAGCCACAAGGAAGAACCATGGGCCTAACATAAGTCGGGCTTGCCCCTCTACAGGAGGAAGATCCAAAAATAGTCAAAAAAAAATCAGGGGACGATGTTTTGACTATTTTAGATAATTGTTGGGGACTTTTAAAACTATTTTTAAAATTTGTCGTCCAAAATCCGCATGTAGGGACACGCCCGACCTAAGCCTAACATGTCGATGCTTCACCTACACGATTGCGGGGTTTGCTACAGTCAACTGGATTATGCGGCAGACTGGCGGGCGTCATGTCGTCTCCAATTTCTGCATTTTTAGGGGATGGTGGGCGGAGTAGACTGGACCGCTCTCACACACTCGAGCGGGCTGGCTGGACCACTGGGCGTGTATCCAACTCTTGCCCTGGTCCTACTTCTGCGTCAATGTCTCTGCTACTACTTCCGCTTACTTTTCTACTGCTGCCATTGGCTGTAACAAACGCTCGAACGTGCAAGAACGCTGAAGGCTAGTATCGAGCTTTTCCGGCACTGGAGTGAAGTCTGGGGGCACTAAACTCCCGTGCACTGCGCGTAGTCCCGGCGCTGGGGGTCAGCGCACATCTCCTTGAGGGAGGCCTGGATCTCCTCCTGCAGGCTCATGGGCACCAACCCCGCGCACTGCGCGTAGTCCTGGCGCCGCGGGTCAGCGCACATCTCCTGAAGGGAGGCCTGGATCTCCTCCTGCAGGCTCATGGGAACCAACCCCGCGCACTGCGCGTAGTCCCAGCGCCGCGGGTCAGCGCACATCTCCTCGAGAGAGGCCTGGATCTCCTCCTGCAGGCTCATGGGAACCAATCCTAAGCAAGCTGTGTACTCCTTGCGAGCAGGATCCGAGCACAGCTCCTTGTGGAAAGCGGAGGCCTCCTCCTCCACAGACATCGGGACCAGCCCAGCGCAGGCCGCGTAGCCCTTGCGAGCAGGATCCGAGCACAGCTCCTTGTGGAGAGCCGCGGCCTCTTCCTCCACGGACATCGGGACCAGCCCGGCGCAGGCTGCGTAGTCCTTGCGAGCAGGATCCGAGCACAGCTCCTTGTGGAACGCCACGATCTTCTCACCCACGGACATCGGGACCAGCCCTGCGCAGGCCGCGTAGCCCTTGCGAGCAGGATCCGAGCACAGCTCCTTGTGGAGAACCACGATCTTCTTACCCACGGACATCGGGACCAGCCCGGCGCAGGCCGCGTAGTCCTTGCGAGCAGGATCCGAGCACAGCTCCTTGTGGAGAGCCGCGGCCTCTTCCTCCACGGACATCGGGACCAGCCCGGCGCAGGCCGCGTAGTCCTTACGAGCAGGATCCGAGCACAGCTCCTTGTGGAGAGCCGCGGCCTCCTCCTCCACGGACATCGGGACCAGCCCAGCGCAGGCCGCGTAGTCCTTGCGAGCAGGATCCGAGCACAGCTCCTTGTGGAGAGCCGCGGCCTCCTCCTCCACGGACATCGGGACCAGCCCAGCGCAGGCCGCGTACTCCTTGCGAGCAGGATCCGAGCACAGCTCCTTGTGGAAAGCAGAGGCCTCCTCCTCCACGGATATCGGGACCAGCCCGGCGCAGGCCGCGTAGCCCTTGCGAGCAGGATCCGAGCACAGCTCCTTGTGGAGAGCCGCGGCCTCCTCCTCAACGGACATCGGGACCAGCCCCGCGCAGGCCGCGTAGTCCTTGCGAGCAAGATCCGAGCACAGCTCCTTGTGGAGAGCCGCGGCCTCTTCCTCCACGGTCATCGGAACCAGCCCGGCGCAGGCCGCGTAGTCCATGCGAGCAGGATCCGAGCACAGCTCCTTGTGGAGAGCGGCGATCTTCTCCTCCACGGACATCGGGACCAGCCCGGCGCAGGCCGCGTAGTCCTTGCGAGCAGGATCCGAGCACAGCTCCTTGTGGAGAGCGGTGATCTTCTCCTCCACGGACATCGGGACCAGCCCAGCGCAGGCCGCGTAGTCCTTGCGAGCAGGATCCGAGCACAGCTCCTCGTGGAGAGCGGTGATCTTCTCCTCCACGGACATCGGGACCAGCCCAGCGCAGGCCGCGTAGCCGTTGCGAGCAGGATCCGAGCACAGCTCCTTGTGGAGAGCCGCGGCCTCCTCCTCCACGGACATCGGGACCAGCCCAGCGCAGGCCGCGTAGTCCTTGCGAGCAGGATCCGAGCACAGCTCCTTGTGGAGAGCCGCGGCCTCTTCCTCCACGGTCATCGGGACCAGCCCGGCGCAGGCCGCGTAGTCCTTGCGAGCAGGATCCGAGCACAGCTCCTTGTGGAGAGCGGCGATCTTCTCCTCCACGGACATCGGGACCAGGCCGGCGCAGGCCGCGTAGCCCTTGCGAGCAGGATCCGAGCACAGCTCCTTGTGGAGAGCCGCGGCCTCTCCTCCATGGTCATCTCCCAGCCCGGACAGCAGGCCGACCAGGCCGGCGCAGGCCGCGTAGCCCTTGCGAGCAGGATCCGAGCACAGCTCCTTGTGGAGAGCCGCGGCCTCCTCCTCCACGGTCATCGGAACCAGCCCAACGCAGGCCGCGTAGTCCTTGCGAGCAGGATCCGAGCACAGCTCCTTGTGGAGAGCCGCGGCCTCTTCCTCCATGGTCATCGGGACCAGCCCGGCGCAGGCCGCGTAGTCCTTGCGAGCAGGATCCGAGCACAGCTCCTTGTGGAGAGCGGCGATCTTCTCCTCCAGGGACATCGGGACCAGCCCGGCGCAGGCCGCGTAGCCCTTGCGAGCAGGATCCGAGCACAGCTCCTTGTGGAGAGCCGCGGCCTCCTCCTCCACGGTCATCGGGACCAGCCCGGCGCAGGCCGCGTAGTCCTTGCGAGCAGGATCCGAGCACAGCTCCTTGTGGAGAGCCGCGGCCTCCTCCTCCACGGACATCGGGACCAGCCCGGCGCAGGCCGCGTAGTCCTTGCGAGCAGGATCCGAGCACAGCTCCTTGTGGAAAGCGGCGGCCTCCTCCTCCACGGTCGTGTTCATTCTGTCAAGGGCCGCGTCGCACAGGTCGGCGTGCGAGGGTGACGTATCCACCTGAAGGAGTTTGAAAGGAGAAGGGGGGGACGGGTCATGGGGCAGGCGGAATGAGGAAGAAGGTGAAGTGAAAGGAGGGACACCGGGGGGCTGACATCTCCCCTTCCCGCTGCTCTCCCTCCACACTTTCTTCCCCCCATCCCCCCTTTCCTCTCCCTTTCCCCTCTTTCCCCCACCCCTCCTACCCACTTCCCCCACTCACTCCTTCCCGCTTCCCACCTTCCCCCCCTTCTCCCCTCCCACCCTCTCATCCCCTCATTCCTTCCGCCTTAACCCCCGCCAGCCCTTCTCCCCCCCCCTCCCAGTTGAGCACGTCTCCACGACACTGCCATCGTCCGCCGCCGCCGCCTCCCTCCCACCCCCCTCGCCCCCTTCGACCATTCCACTGTCCCTCTTTTTGCGTCTCCTCCTTTTCTTCGTTTCCGCCGTGTGGCGGCGGATAGAACAGAAGTCCTTCTTCTCTCCCTTCCTCCACAGCTGCCTCACTTCACGCCCCTTCCACCATATCTTGCCCCAGAGCGAATGTATTGAATTCGGGTAAGAAATTTGGGCCTGCATGGCGCTCACGAAACGAATGGTTGGAACCAACTCCCAAGCGTAAGAACACGGTGCACGGCACCCCAGCCACAGGGTCCCCTCCTCCCTCGCTGACTCGCCCTCTTGTCCCTCCCGCTCCTCCCCTCTTCCATGTTACCCGTACCCTCCCATCCTCCCTCAACCCTTGTTCCCCTTGTCTCTTCCCCTCAAAATGTCTCCTACTTCCCTAATCCATATCTCGCTCCTAGTGCTGTCTTTCTATCCCCCCCTTCCATCTTTATTGCACACTGTCTCTGGCTGTTCTCTCCCTCTGTCTCTCTCTCTCTCGTTCTCTTGTTTTTCTTGTTTTGTTTCACAATCTCTCTCTCAGTATCTTTATCGCTATCTCTCTCTCTCTCTCCCTCTCTCTCTATCTTCAGTTGCTTCCTCTCTCTCTTGATCTGTTGTTGAAATTTAATGCCAATATAAACAACACCCATACGTATTCTAACATGCATAGATGTGTCTCGTGTCTGTCTGCCTGTCTGTCTGGCTGCCTATCTGCCTGCCTGCCTGCCTGCCTGCCTGTCTGTGTCTGCCTGTCTGTCTGTCTGTCTCTGTCTGTATATCTCTCTCTCTCTCTCTGAAGATGCATATATACATAACTATGTAGATGTCTTCCTCTCTCTCTCTCTCTGTATATATATATATATATGTATATATATACATATATATAGATATTCCTCTCCCGCTCTCCCTCCCTGCCGCCAGACTTCCTCCCTCCATCCCCCCATCTCTATAGATCTCTCGCAGTACATTTCCCATCCATATCCGTCTCTCTCTCTCTCTCTTTCCCTGTTTATGTTTCTCTATCTCTCTCTCGTTCTCTTTACCTCTACCTCTACCCCTCCCTCTTACAATACCTGTCGCTGCTGCTCAAAACCAACTGCAATTGGTTATCACCTGTCTCGTCCTACTCACAATGTTCCGACTCCTCTCCCTCATGCGCTTTCTCATCCCTCCCTCCGTGCCCCTTTTCCCCATGTCCTGCACTCTTCCTGATGTCTCCCCCATCTCCCTCCGGCGTCTCCTCCCTCCAGTCCACCTCACCCACTCCCACTATCTCCAACTCCCCTTCCTCTCCCACCGCTGCCCTTCTCCCTCCCCCTCCCTCCTCCTACTCCCCCCCTGCCCTCCCTCCCTCTCGCCCTCCCTTCCTCCCCCCGTCCCTCCCTCCCTCCCCCCCTCTCGCCCTCTCCCTCCGCCTCCCCTCCCCCTCCGCCTGCTCCTCGTCCGCGCCCGACCCCTCCTCGATCCTGATACTGAGAAGGCGAAAAGTACAGATACTGCTTCTCCCAGGCCCCTTCAATGGAACGTCCTGGCAAGAATTTCGAAGCCGATCTGGCCGTGGCGACGAGGGGGGGGGGGGTAGCGGCGGTAAAAAAAAGGGGACAACCTGTTTTCTTCCTCCTCTGCCAATCCTGCTCCCCCCATACTCTCCCCCACCCTCCCTACTCCCCCCCCTCCTCCTCTCCCACTCCTTCAGTGCGGCCGCGAGCCTGGACCTGATTCAAAAGTCGTGCACAATTCATCCTCCGACAGGGCTCGTGGTCTCAGCGCCAGCTGAACTGATCGTTCGGCCAAGCAGCTGGTGCAGAACCAGGTGGGGAAACCTCCTCCTCCTCCTTCTTTCTCCCTCTTCTCCGCTCTCCCCCTCCTCCTCCTCCTCCTCCTCCTCCTCCTCCTCCTCCCCTCCTAGCTACTCCTACTACTCCTCCTACTACTGACTCCTCCTCATCCTCGTCCTCTTCCTCTCCTCCTCCTGCTTCTTCTCTTCTCCCCCTCCGAACCTCCTCATCCTCCTATCCTCCTCAGCCTCCTCCTCCTCTTTCCTCTCCTCCTTCTCCCCCTCCTCCTCCTCGTTCTCCTCCCCTCCTCCTCCCTCCTCCTCTCTCCTCCCCCTCCTCCTCCCGTTCCTCCTCCTCCTCCTCCTTTTTCTATTCGTCCGCTTCCTCTTCCATTCGTTCCCCTCCTCCTCTCCCCGCGCACCTTCCTCTTCCTGTTCTCTCCTTCCCTCCCTCCTCTCCCCTCTATCCTCCTCCTACTCCTCTCCTCCTACTCCTCCTCTACCTCCTCCTCCTCCTCCTCCTCCTCCTCCTCCTCCTCCTCCTCCCCCCCATCCTCCTCCTCTAACCTTGCCTCCTCCTCCTCCACCTCCTACTCCTCCTCCTCCTCCTCCTCATACTCCTCCTCTTCCTACTCCTCCCCCTCAACTGCAATCGGTCAAGGCGAGCCCGTCGAGTCCTCCGCAGGGCCGAGACGGACTTAATGATGGGCCCCTCGGGCACAGAGTCGCCTTCTCGTCCAAAGCCCGAGGAGCCACGTACCCGCCACTACCCCCGCCCACTCCGGCGGAAGAGGGGGGGAAAAGGAGGAAAGGGAAGAGGAGGGGGAGGAGGGAGGGAACGAGGGAGGAACGGGGGGGGTGGACGAGGAGGTCAAAAGGGGGGGGGAAGAGGAGGGCAGAGGAGGAGGGGAAGAGGCGGGGGAAGAGGGGGGGGAGAGGAGGTAGAGCACTGAGATACGGGCGCGGCGCTGGTTCTCCTCACGCAAGGAATGTTCGCCCTGTTTCGGGCACGGGGACCATCACGTGTCGCCCGGGCTCGAAGCATGCAGCGAGAACATGAGGTCCAGGGCTCGGCTCTTGATGTTCGCAAAAACGTTAGTTTTCGCTGCGCTGGACGTCTGGGGAGGAGGAAAAAGGGAAGCACGGATGGGAGAGGAGAGGGAGGGCCAGGCAGGATTAGGTCGGGCATGTCCTCCTACAGGCGGATAAAGAAATAGTCAACGCACACACACAGATTCTTCTTCCTATATTTTTACAAGCCCGGGCGGGGGGAAGACCCGTCCCCCCCCAAAAAAAAAAACCGGACCTCGAAGCGGCCCCCCGGGCCTCGCAGGGCGTTTTGCCAAGCCTTCGCAGCACACCTCGGGCGATCAGGGGGGTCATCGGAAACGTCCCAGAGAACCCTAAGACAGCACAAGAGCGCTCCAAGAAACCGTCATACCCCGAAAGATCGCTCCAACACGTACCAAGAAGCCTCCAAAAACACCCCCAAGAAGGCCCCAAGAGAGACAAACCATTGATTTGATGTAGGTTGTTGGTGAATTTGGGGTTCTCCTCTTTTCGGCTTCCCGACGCTCCAAGACAGCGGTCTTCTGGGCCTCCGAAGTCGCCTGGGAGGCTCCAGAATCGCCCCACAGCCATCCGAAAGGGCTTCCAGGCAGTCCAAGAGAGCCCCAAAACGGCACACCAGGGGTCCAAAATGGCCCTAAGAGAGCCCCATGGCGGCCCAATATGGCCCCAAGACACCCTCGGAAGCATTCCAAATCGTGACTGGGGCGTTCAGGGAAACCGCGGTTAGAGGCAGGTTGGCCTTAGGAAGCCCCAGAGGCCCCCAGAACACGCCCGACGTCACTCCTGTAAAAAAAAAAAAAAAAAATAAAGAACAAAAAAAAAAAAAAAAAAAAAAAAAAGAAAAAAAAACAAAAAAAAAAAAAAAAAAAAAGAAAAGAAAAAAAAAAAAAAACAAAAAGGCTTCCCGAAAGTTGAGAAAAAAAACGTCTCTGAGGCTTCCCAGAACGAAGGAACAAAAGAAAAAAGAAAAAAAAACAAAAACCATACAAAGAAGAAAAAAAAACAAAAAAAAAAAAAAAAAAGAAAATAAAAAAAAAGACGAAACCAAAAGAAGGGAACGAATCCGAACAGAAGAGTAGGCTCTCCAAGGAGGAGCCTCCGCAAGAGCTGAGGAGGATTGGGAGAATGCCCACGGTATGGCGAAAATGAGGAACAATAAGCATGGATGAAGGATAACGAACAACATTATTATAACGGCGATGTCAGAAAAAAAGGCAGCAAGGCATTATCGTTTAAGTGTCCGCTTGACCTTCCTGCCTTTCCCACCTGCATAGCAATCTTCGGTTAGAAGATCGTTTGGGCCTCCCTGCGTTTTTTTTTTTTAGACTTACTCCGACGGAAGGACCCCACATGATAATCCTCTGGGCGAATCTGGAAAAAGCGCTCACCGTCGTCCTCGTGGTTGGTGAGGCGTCCTGACTGTCTCTTCTGCGTATATTTCTTCTCGCCCTGGCGCGGGCCCTCCCCCTGCTCCCTACGTTGCCCCCGACCTCGCCCTCATGTTTTTTTCGCGCCCCGCCACCGCCTCGCCTTTCCATTGCGCGAGCGCGCATGTCGGTTTTCCTCGGCGCCGTCGCCGCCTCGGCCAGCACAGGCGCGTTCTCTAATGGCCACGTCGCGCAGCCGTTGGGACAACCCCGCGGGCCAGGCTGTCGGGACAACCCCGCGCCCCTTCTTTCTGTATTTCTCGCGGCCGCTGCTGAGCAGCGCGGTACCGATACTCAGTCCTCCTTTTCCTCTTCCTCCTCCTCCTCTACTCCCTATATCAGCTTATCATCCGCCACCGCGCAACCTGGCACGTTGAGGCGTGCTACAATGAGGCGTGCCGGAATGCCACGTGCTGTCTAGCAAAGTTTTTGGAGTCTTCTAAGAGCCCCCCCCCATTTACTGGCGCCGGCATGCGCGCGCCCGCGCACAGCTTCGACCGAAAACACCAAATATCCCCAAAAACCACACCGAAAACCATGAAAACAAATTGGCGTTAGCGGCCCCTTATTCACAAGGGAAATACATGTAATGTGCGAAGATTTCGGCCGAGGATGGGTTCCCACCCCCAGCCCGGACGCAAGAGGCTACCCCTGCGCCCGATTCGGCCGCCGATGGGTCGCCACCGGCGACCCGGAGACAAGAGGTTTCCCCTGCCCCCGATTCGGCCGAGGATGGGTCACCACCCCCAGCCCGGACACAAGAGGTTACCCCTGCGCCCGGCCGCTGTCTCGTCGTCGTCGTCGTCAGCTCCTCAGTCGCCCTTTGGAGCAAGCAGGCCCATGACAGCCATATTCAGGCCGCGGGGACCCAAAACTGACGACAGGCATACGAATTCCGAGGACCCTCCTCGGATTCGAAATTCACAAATGTGGCCCGGGAATGACGCTCTGGGAACACGACGAACACAAAGTGGCCTACAGTTGGCTCCGGACATCCAGAATGTGGCCCGGGAATGGTGTTCTGGGAACAGGAAGAACACGAAGTGGCCTACGGTTGGCTCCGGTTTCAAAATGTGGCCCGGGAATTGTGTTTTGGGAACACGAAGAACACGAAGTGGCCTACAGTTGGCTCCGGGCATGCACAATGTGGCCCGGGAATGGCGTTCTGGCAGCGCGAGAGCCCAAAAGTGACGACAGTTACAAGGTTTGGATGACCCGCTCGGATTACCAACATGATCTGCGGGCCCCATAGGGAGGGGGCTCCCGCCTGAGACTTCCTCACAATTCACTCACAGACGAGGCTCCCGCCTGAGACTTCCTCCAAATTCAGGCCTGAGGAGCTCAAAAGTGACGACAGTTACAAGGCTTGGATGACCCGCTTGGATTACCAACATGAAGCGCGGGCCCCATAGGGAGGGGTTCCCGCCAGTGACTTCCTCGCAATTCACTCACAGACGAGGCTCCCGCCTGAGACTTCCTCCGTACTCAAGCTTGAGGAGCCCAAAAGTGACAACAGTTACAGGGTTTGGATGACCCGCTCGGATTACCAACGTGATCTGCGGGCCCCATAGGGAGGGGGCTCCCGCCTGAGACTTCCTAACAATTCATTCACAGACGAACTCCCGCCTGAGACTTCCTCCAGGTGAGTATGTGAATGAGTGAGCGTGTGACAGAGTGCGAGTGATGATGATGATGATGATGATGATGATGATGATGATGATGAGTATGTGAGTGACTGAGCGTGTGAGAGAGCGCGAGTGATGATGCTGATGTTGATGATGAGAGAGTGTGAGTGAGTGCGAGTGTGAGTGAGTGGTGATGATGATGAGTGAGTGAGTGTGCGAAGGCAGAAGAGGAGAGGGGGTGGGGTGAGTGTTCCTGCGCGGGGTGTGCAGAGAAAACAAAAAGCCCACTTTGGATGTGGGGAAAAAACTGCATGGGCCGCGGCGGGCCCCCCTTTCTGTGTTTTCGGGGGCTGAGGGAACCGAATGCTGAATAGCGAGGCGTCGGCATCGCCAGCAGCAAGCGGAACGGCGATGGCGATGATCGACAGAGCTTTATAGGAACTCAAAGAATTGTGAATTTGAATAGGATTCAAATAGGAATTCAATAGGCCAGGACCAGACCCCAGATTCAGAGAGGGGGAGGAGGAAGGAGCTGTCCGTTGCGTGTTGTATGATGTCGTGTGTTTGTTTGTTTGTTTGGACCTTTTTGAATGTTTGTTTGGACCTCTCAGGCGGGAGCCTCGTTTTGAGTGCTTGTTGGGGGACCTTTCAGGCGGGAGCCAGAGGATTCATATTGAATTTGGATGGGATCCGAAGGAAACCTCACTAGAAACGGAGCAGATCCCATATCCAAAGGATTCCTATTGAGTTTGAATAGGGCCCTAATCGGATTTCAATAGGGACGGAGCGTCTCCTACATCCAGAGGGTTTTCATTGGATTTGAATAGGATGCTAATTAGATTTCAACAGGAACGGGGCAGGTCCCAGATCCAAAGAATTCCAATTGAATTTGATCAAGTTTGTGATCATATTACGATAGGAAAAGAGCAGATCCCAGATCCAGAGGGTCCCTATTGAATGTGGTTCGGGTTCTCATCAGATTGCAAAAGAAACGGAGCAGATCCCAGATCCAGAAGATTCCCAATGGATTTGAATCGGGGTCGATTCGGGTTTCAATAGAAACGGACCAGATCTCAGATACAGAGGATTCCACATATGAGGGGGAGGACAGAAGCAGAAATAAGTGGAAAGCATCGAAGACGAGGAAAGAGGAGCATGAGGATGAACATCACTCCCTCTCCGCAGTCTTCCATGTGGGGGATACGAAGAAAAAGAGGAGGAGTAGAACAAGAAGGAGGATGAGCAGTGATCCTCATCATCTGCCGCCTCCTCCTTTTCCTTATCATATCGCTTGCCCGCCTCATTATCATCATCATCATGGTCCTACTCCTCTACATCCTACGTATTCTGCTGCTCCTCACACCACTCCTCCATCGCATCCTACTGCTCCTTATTACCCTCCGTTGCCTCATACTCATCCTCCTCCTTCTCCTCCTGCACCTCATCCGCCTCCTCTGCACATCCTCCTCTGCCTCATATCACTCTCCCTCCGCCTATCCCCCCCTCCTCCTCCCATAGGGGCGATGGGAGGAGGATGGGAAGGAGGAGGACAAGTGATGTAACGATGAGAATTGGGATGGCGAGCATCCCTTTGGAAACCATTACAAAGGGATTCTCTAGGACAGCCTCCTACTTCCTCCGCCTCCTCCTCTTCGGCGTCCTCCTCCTCCTCCTACCCTTCCTCCTCCTCTTCCTTGTTCCTTCTCCTCCTCCCCCTCCTCCTCCTCCTTCTCCTCCTCCTCCTCCCAATCATAATCCCCTCTACGGAGCAGAATCAAGCCACACTCTTGGACAAAAAAACAAAAACAGCAAAACAAGCAATCCTGAGGGACTTCCCCCCCCCTCCACCCCACCCCCCAGGAAGTTCCCTCAGGATTGCTTGTTTTGTTTTATTTGTTGTTTTTGCTTTTTCCAATGGTTTTGCTTGATTCCGCCTTCGATCGGGGAATCTGATTGGGAGGAGGAGGAGGAGGAGTGGGAGAAGGAGGAGGAGGAGGAGGAAGAGGGAGGCGGAGGAGGAGGGATGCACTCACCTCCTTCCGTATGCTACAAAGGGAGGAGGTGAGACAGAGGCTTTCTGGATAACATCTGAAAATCGCGGGGATCCGAAACCGAACTGGAACCTGAGGTGGCATACGCCATTTCGCTTTTTCTTAAAAACGCAGGGGGCCCAAACGATTCTCAAACCTCTTCTTCAAGGACCAAGGTGCATGGCGCGAAGCGCCACAGCAGTCTTGTATGTATGTACGTACGTACGTACATACGTACGTATGTATGTATGTATGTATGTATGTATGTATGTATGTATGTATGCATGTGTATAACTATTTTATATATTACATGTTTCGCGCGCGCTCAAGTTCTAGCCCAGGACGGGGGGGAGTTGCAAGATCTTGGACAGCGCTATCAAGCACATGCGCGTGACATAGTCGTGCCTCCTGAATGCCTCTTGGGGCTTCGTGGGGGCATCTGAAGGGTTTCGGGGGGATTCTCCGTGCTTCCTCAATTTGCTGTTGGAGGCACCTCTTGGGTGCTTCTTGGGGGGGCGTCTTGGGGCTTCTTGGGGTCCCTTGGGAGCATCGTCGGGGTTCTCTGGGCAGTCAGAGGGTGATGTTCTGCAACCTGAAGTCGTCATTGGCCGTCTTGGCTGCGTGGAGGCCCGACTTGAGGGGAGCGCTAAACAAGGAACGCTGCGGGACGGGAAACTGACCACAACCACTGCTTCTTGTTTTTGCCGCCTTCCAGCCGGCCGAAAAAGAAGCAGTGGCTGTGGTCATTTCCCTGGTGCCAAGCTTAACGAAAATGACCACAACCATTGCTTTGTTTCTGCTGGCTGGAAGGCGGCAACAAAAGAAAAGCAGTGGCTGTGGTCGTTTTCCCGTCCCGTAAACGCGGCCCTTTTTGGCACTGAGAGCGCTTGCGTGCACAGCGAGGACTAGAGGAACGGCCATGGGAGGACCTGGGGAACCGCGAGCACCTTTCGAGCCCCAACTGCTCCCTGTTGATACTCCGCGTCTTGGCTGTGCCCGCTCGGCCCCGGCGCAAGGGACAGCCAGATCTTGGGCGTGACGCGCAGGATCAGGACCATCTCTTGAGGGAGCCCCAGGGAGGGGGAGGAGGGGCAGGAGGGGGGGGGGGAGGGGAGGGGGAGGAAAGGGAGGAGGGGGAGGTGAGGGGAGGGGCAGGAACGGAAGGAGCCGAACTCGAAGGGGGGGCCGGTGCACGAAGAAGGGCGGGACCCACCTCCTCGCTGGCTTCGCCACGTCCCTGCCCTTCTCCGCGCTCCTGCTCCCAAGGGGAGAGGGAAGAGAGGAGGGGGAACTGAAGCGGGGAGGGGAGATGGGGCGGGGGGGAGGATCCGCCGACCCTGTTGGCGTGTGGAAGGCGCTCTTCCGTTGGTCGCCGTCGTCTTCGTCGTCGTCGTGTCGTCTCCGACGTATCCTCGTCGTCTCCGTCGATCGTCGTCTCCGTCGTCCCCCGAATCCTTTCCCGAGGCCCTCCTCCTTAAGCGCGCCAGCCGAAGCGACAATGATCAACGTCGTAGCTGAGTCGGAAGGAAGCCCCTTCCCTTTGATCCTTTCCCCGCCGGGGGGGCACCCACACACGCATCCCCCCCGGGCGGTTCTGGGGCACAGAAAAACCCCAAGACGCGGCAGAAGTGCCCCAAGAGGCCCCCCAAGACTGTCCTCGAGGGCCCCAAATCGCCGAACTATTGGACCAAGACGCCAAAGTATAGTCTCCAGACGGCTCAAGAAGCGTTTCAAGAGACCTCATCGATTTGCCTTAAGTGTTTGACAGATTTTGGCGTTCTCGCCTTGTCTGCTTACCGACGCCCCAAGCCAGCCCAAGAGGGCCCCCAAACCGCCCAAGAGGCCTCCAAGACTGCCCAAGAGGCCCCCAAGACGGCCCCAAGAGCCCAGACGGGGTACCCGGACGGACATTTCGAGCCCTCGGCCTGAGAGGCTCCCAGGAAGTCTCCAGAGACCCCCAAGAAGGCACCTACGAGGCCCCCACGATGCTCCCAAGAGGCACCCAAGAGCTTCCCAAGTGGCCCCAGGACTATCCCACAGGAGGCCCTCGAGAGCGCTCGTCGTCGTCGTCGTCGTCGCCGTCGTCGTCGTCGTCGTCGTCGTCATCGTCGTCGTCGTTCAGGGTCGGCGGCACAAGCCGTAAGGCCTCTTCGATAGGTGGCATCTCATGCGAGGTCTTCGTAAGTTCGATTGAAGGTTACCCATCGGTCGGCAGAAGTAGGTAGGAGCATGACGTAGGAAAGCGTTGAAAATAGATTGGGTTCCGTCCACCCCCTAAGGAGGACGGAAAAGATGAAGCCACTCGATCATTGAAATAGGAAGGCGCTTAAAATAGACTGGAATCTGGGAGTCTAGAAATACCTATTTTCAACGACCGATGGGTATTCAGCCCCATGAAGGTCTGACTAAACTGGAACAGCCCGGAAAACTATGATTAGGCACTATTAGTAGGATTGGAGCGGTTCTGCCAGATTCGGCCCGCTTTCGACCACGGATGTGCTGGCGCCCATGGGGGATCTATTGTCTCAGGATTTGCATCCTACGGGGTGGGATGGGGCGGAGGGGGGAATGCGCCCCGTATCTCGAGGAGGAGCATGAGCAATAAACTGCCCAGGCAATGCTTCTTCACGTCGGGGTGCTTGCTTGACTTGTCAACAAGGACATGGATGGGTCAGCCGTCGGGGATCTTCTGACCCAGCTCAATGCAGACCCGGGTCAGTCAAGCCTTGTAAAATCCTGCAAGATCCTCCCAGATCCAGCACCCAAGCCCGTGCAAACGCGAACAATCCTGCCCAATCCTGCAGGATCCTGCACCCAAGCCCGGGTCCATGCGACCCTGGCCCTGCAGGATCCTGCAGGATCGGGCGCTCTGGCTGACCCCCGTTTGCACTGACCCCCGTCTCAGGGCTCCCGAAGCCGAGGATTCGGGCGCCCATGGGTGCCATGGGCGGTGTCCGTGGGCGGGGGAGGAGGAGGAGGAGGAGGAGGAGGAGGAGGAGGAGGAGGTGGAGGAGAGGAGGAGGAGGAGGAGGAGGAGGAGGAGGTGTCCCGTGGGTGCCATGGGCGCCCAAAGGGTGCCTCGTGGGCGCCTCGCGGGCCGGGCAGGCCGGGCTTCTGGCTTCTCCCGGGCGCCCGCCCGCGGGCGCCCCGCGGGCGCCTCGCGGGCGCCTCCGGGCGGCCCAGCCAAAGGCTTCGCCCGGTGGGCACCCCGGGGGCGCCGGGCGCGCGCGCGCGCGCCGGGGCAGCTCGGCCGAGGCTTCGCCCGGTGCCCGCCCTGGCCATCGCTCGGACGTCCATTCCCTGTGCTTTTTTTTTCGGTCTCGTGCGTGGCTTTTCCGCCAAAGGATCCAGGATGCTCCCCGAGGGTCCTCGCCGAAGGGAAAAGGCACACGTCCGAGCGATGCCAAGCGCCCGTGGGCGCCTCGTGGGCGTCGCGCGCGCGCTGGGCAGCTCGGCCGAGGCTTCGCCCGGTGCCCGCCCGTGGGCAGGAGCCCAGAATCGACTCGGCAAGCGGGATCGGCGATCAAAGGATCGGCGGCAATGGGCAGCCGAGTCGGGAGCAGTCGAATCGGCGAGACTCGGCAGGCCGGTATGCCTCCAGGGAAGGACTCGGAACCCGCATCGGAATCCGAGGTCGAATCGGAATCGGAAGCCATCAGAACTCGAAATCGAACCGAGTCTCGAAGCGGGGGCTCGAACTGAGCCCCCCATGTCGACCTGCTGATCCGGGCCGACTGTAGCTTGCACTCCAGAGTTTTTTTTTGTTCCGCACATCCTGCGCCACGTAGCTTACACCACACAGCTTGTACCACATAGCTCGCCCACAACTCAGATTTCGCCGCACTGCCTAGACGACATAGCTTGCACAGCACTGCCTCCACCTACACGGCATGGCTTGCACCACGTAGGTGCATCACATGAGTTGCTTCAAAGAGCTTGGACCACATAGCTTACACAGCCACAGTGTAATCACTCACTGTTTGGGGTCAACGCTGGCAAACCTAATTAGGCATCAAGTTCAACGGTCCGCGTGGACATTCGAACATGTTTGCTCATATGCTTGATTTGTTCTTGGGCACCTCCGCCCCGCGTCCTCATATCGACGGCGAGCCCAGGGGAAGTGAGAAGGGGCAGGCCTTCTCAGAAGGCTTTGAACTCTCCCGGCCTTCTAGTAGGAGCTCTCTGAGCCTTCCCTGAAGACACAGAGCAACTCTCAGACGGCGCTAGACTTCTGAGAGGTCCCGCCGCCTTCTGAGAAGGCCCTCTCCTTCTCACTTCCCCCCCGCGCTTGCCACCGACCAGATCTCCTCCGCCTGACCCGCCCCATCTCCTTTCGGCGGTGGACGAACCTCCCTTTAGTAAACCTCCCCTTCGTGAAAACAGCCTGGGACGGAAACCGACGGACCGAAAACGGCCAATTCACTTATCGACGTGTCAGGGTAGGAGGTCTATCGACCTCCGGTCCTTACTTTCGCCCCCCGCTCCCTCGAGGGGGGAGGCCCATACCCCGACGACTTCTCGGGCTTTGAACTCTGGCTCGCCCCGAACGCGCTCCGGCTCGGCCTCCTCCAAGAGAGCGGGCAGCTCGTCGGTGGCAGCAGCATCGTAGAGCTGAGCATCAACGACGGACTGCTGGTACCCCGTCTGCAGCTGCACGCCCAGCTGACAGCACACCTCCGGGCTTGTCTCGAGAAAGTCGCCGCTGAACCCACCGACCTCCCTCATTGCAGGTCCCGTGGGCGACACTCAGCGAGGAACTCCTGCTTCGCTTGCCGCGGCGGCGGCCCCAGCGACACGCTGTGCTTTGCAAGCTGATGGCGTGCCGCTCTGCTTCGTCCAGCCTGGGGCTGGGAGAAGCTCGGAACGGTGACGCTTGGGGGCTGGAGCGTGCTCAGCGCTTGCGCTAAATCGTGGTGGGCTCTGCCTCCGCCTCCGCCTCCTCCGCCGCCGCCCCCTCCGTCTCTCCCTCCTTCTCTCTAGGACACGAGCAGCAAGTCCTACTTCCCCCCTGTGCCGGCAGCAACGGGGCACCGGAATTGACGGCCAGGCATGCAGCCCGGCATCGGAAGAAAGCCGCAAATTTTGGCACGCCCGCACTGGGTACGGAACAAAGGCGTTCGGTGCCCAAGAGCAAACGTTGTCCAAAATGGGCAGCGGCCGCTGTTGGGCAGGCGAGCTTGTGTCTCGAATGGACCTCGCCCGCGGCGACACAGACAGCGAGTGGCGCTCCAGAAGCTCCCCCCCCCTTCCCTGTCCAAAAGGGAGCGGGGGGGTCTTAGCTACCCCCCCCCCGCGCCTCCCCTGCTGGAAGCCCCCCCTTCGTCGTTGTTGTTCCGCCCCTCGGAAGCTACCCCCCCTCTTCGCGCTCTGGAAGCTCGCCCCCCCTGTGGAACTTATAACTGCCCCCCCCTTTGAACCTCCCATCCGGAAGCCCACCCCCACCCCACTCCCTCCCACCCCCATCCGGAAGCCCACCCCCATCCGGAATCCTAAAGGGGCACCAAAGGCTAAAAGGGTGTAGAAAACCAAACAGAGCGCCAAAAAAGAATGGAGTACTGAAAACCAACGATGCGCCAAAAACCAAAAGGCACTGAAAACCACAAGAACACCGAAAACCAAAACGGCGCCGAAAACCGAGAGGGCGCCGAAAACCAAAGGTACGCCGAACACTCAAGGGGTGCCGAAAACCAAACAGAGCGCCGACAACCAAAATGGCGCCGAAAACCAACGATGCACCGAAAGCTAAAACGGCGCCGAAAAACCAAAGGGGCGCCGATAACCAACAAGGCGCCGAAATCGAAAAGGGCGCCGAAAACAGCAGAAATTCCGAAGACCGACGGGACACCGAAACCAAAAAATGGCGCTGAAAACCACAGGAGCGCCGAAAACCACAGCAGCGCCGAAAACCAAAAGGGCGCCGAAAGCAAAAGGGTGCAGAAAACCAACAACGCGCCGAAAACCACAAGGGCTTCGAACAAAGCTTCGAATGACCAAAGAAGCGCCGCGCCGATAACCCAAAGGGCGTCGAAAACCGGAAGGCGCCAAAAACCAAAATGCACGCCAAAAACCAAAGGGCGCCTGAAACCAGAGGGGCGCCGAAAACCAAGGAACGCCGAAAACCAAACGGGCGCCGAAAACGAAAAGGGCGCCGAAAATCAAAAGGGCGCCGAAAACTACAGTGGAGGCCGGTCCGCAAGAAACCTTCCATAAGAAACCCAACCCTGAGATCCCAGGACGCCCATTGATTTTTGTGTGGGAGCTTCACGCCTTCCAGGGCAAAGCCATCGACACCCAAGAAACCCAGGGCACCCTGGAAGCAAGCAGGTTGGCATGGGCCTCCACTGTAAGAGGGAGCCGAAAATCAAAAGAGCGCTGGAACCCAAAAGGGCGCCGACGACCAACGATGCACCGAAAACTGGAGAGGGTGCGCAGATACCCACCAGAGGAGCGTTCAAAACCACAGGAGCGCCGAACACCAAAACGGCGCTGAAGACCAAAGGAGCGCCGGAAATCAAAGGGGCGCCCAAGGTCCAAGGGTCACCGAAAACCAGTTAGGCGCCGAAAACCAAAGAGACACCGAAAACCAGAAGTACGCCGTACGCCGAAAACCAACGGGGCGCCGAAAACTAAAGAGGAACATCAGCTTCGAACCCCCCTGCAATCAGGGCCCTCCAGCTAGAAAAACAAAAGAAAGGGAAGGGGGGAATACCTTCGGAAACGCCACCCCACTTTGGAAAGGAGAGCCCGGGCCTACCCCGGGCCCCGAAACGGAGGGGGGGGGGAACTTCCCAGCTCCCCTCCCCCTTTCACCAGGAACTCCCAACTACAAAATCATATTAAAAAAGAAAGGGGGAGGGTAGCTTCGGAAGCTTCCCAACTCCTTCTCGCCATCGCTTGGACGTCCATTCCCTGTGTTTTTTTTTCTGTTTCGTGCGTGTTTTTTTCGCCAAATGATCAAGGATGCTCCTCGATGGTCCTCGCCGAAGGAAAAATGCACACGTCCGAGCGATGCCAACTACAAAAGCTTACGAAAAGGGGGGAGGGGGGGGTAGCTAGGGAGGGGGGGGGGAGCTTGAAGCTGGGCCCCCCCCCTTTCAGTGAGAAAAGTGCCGCCACGAGCGCGCTCTGTCGAAAGATGGTTGAACCACCCCAGGTATGCCGGCACGTTCGTCTGACATGATGCCATGAGATTCGGCCAAACCGCTGGCTGAACCGACAGCTTCGCGCGCAACATGACGCGACGCTGCTTTCAACGATGAGCTCAACGAGCTGAACTCTGAATCGACCAGTGCGGATCAATCTCGATCAATATCAATCTCTCTCACGTTGGTGCTCCCTCTAAAAATTCGGGAATCTTCATTCAACATATGAATCAACGGGAGGTCGATCGGCACCATGGGCTGTATATCGCGGCGCGGCTGATTTGCGAAGTCACTAACATGAGAAGATCCAGCGATTTCGGCTGAAGACCAATTATTTGCCAGATGGCCAAAATATTGTGGCATTATGATTGGTAGATGGTCGTGCTAAGATCGTCCATTGATCTACTATCTCAGCGGATTGGGTGGCCGTATACTTGGCCATTATTAGGTATGTGCGTTAAGCAGAGTCTACCGGAAACTATGAATGAACTTAACGCGTGCACAAGAAGAGAGCGCGCGAGACTTTTCCGACTAACTCGCAGCCGAAGCAACTGTGGTCCACGCGATGACCAAGGTCAACAGTCGGCGGCGGCGGCGGCAGCGGGCGACAACAGGGGCGGCGCCATGTTTACTGGAGGAGGAGGAGGAGGAGGAGGAGGAGAAGGACGAGGAGGGTGACTAGATGCTGCGATCATCCGAGGAGGAGGAAGATGGAGGGAAGTTGGAGGAGAAGGGGGAAGAGGAGGATGATGAGGAGGCGAAGAAAGAGGAGGAGGAGGAAAAAGGGGAGGAGGGAGAGGAGGAGGCAGGAGAAGGGAGGAGGCAGGAGAAGGGAGGAGGAAGGCTCCCCGAAGATCTCTGTCTTCGCTCCCAACGCGGGGCCTCCGAGGTCCCGCCCCTCTCCCCACGGCCCGTGCACCGCACCGCAGCAGCGTTTGTGAAGACCCGGGGGCCCGGCGAGGGCCCCAGGGGCCTGGCGAGGGCCCGTGCTGGGATGGCCGCGGGGGGGCCCGAGGGGACAAGAGAGGTTTCGAGTGGGATGCTACAGGCCTCGGATTAAATTAGCGAACACATGCCACATTCATCCGTCAACGCCCCCCCCCCTCCCCCCAATGTTCAAAGTTGGCGGTGGGTCTGATGAGATGCACTTCGACCGCAGTCTCCCGCGCGCGTGCCGACGTTGAGTTTTGGGGGGAGGGGGAGTGTTCAGTAATTGTTTCCCTCTACCGTATGGTGGACTGTGCCTGGCGTGCGCAAGCTGATAAGTTGGTCACAAATGCCCTGAGTGGCTGGGCTTATACCACGTATTCCAAAGCTCAATCTACTGAGGGCACCTCGAGCCCACTTATATACGCTATGCGAGGCCATCCCTACACCATCCAAGAATCCACGTGCAACCTGCCTGTCCCTGTGGGCCCCTCCCAGCGGTCATCCCGGCGAGGCCGAACATTGCTAGCAACCTCGCGTCGTGGTCTACTCCCAACGCAAGCACGATGGGGGGAGGAAGGCCCCCCGGCGGCCCAAGACACAACCTTGTCGGACGTCAATGCTCCAGCCATAATACATAATAAATATTCAAACATCCCCCATGATGGCCTGCGAACCGCAGCCCGTGACCCAGACTGGGGGAGGGAACGAACCTCTGCCAGCCGTTGCTTGCAGCCTGCGCGTTGCCAGGCCACGTCGCAGCGCAGAAATGAAGAGGAAGAGGAACATGTTCTTAGGAACCCAAAGCTGTCACAATAACAAACACAATACTCTTAGAACATAAGCCCGATGTCTTCCAACAAGACTGCTCCAGCCACAAATGTTCAATGAATCTTTCGTGCAGAGTGCCGTCCACGAGAGGTTACTAGCACATTCTTTGGCGGGCCTGTAGGCAAGCCAAGGCGCTTCGCCACTGCTAGAGGAAGGTTTTCGGAGTGTTTGTTTATATATATATATATATATAAAAAAAACCTCATCATTACCATGTAGGAGAGGGAGGGAGGGGGAGGAGGAGAGGGAGGAGGGGGAGAAGGAGGAGGAGGAGGACGAGGGGGAGGAGGAGGAGGAAGAGGATCTCCCCATCCTCCGCTCTCCCCCCTCCTACCTATGGCAGTGGTGGTGGCAAATGGCCGTTCTCGCCGCCCGCCGCACCAGCAGCCCCAGCAGCGCGGCGGGCACCCCGAGCGCCGCGCCGCGGGCGCCGAGGAACCCCTGCGGCTTGCCTGCCGGCTTGCCGGCCGGCGCGGCCGCCTGCGGCGCGCATCCGGGGCTGGCCCGCCGCTGGCGAGGAGGGAGGAGGAGAGGGGGCGAGGAGGGGGCGAGGAGGGAGGAGGAGGGAGGGGGCGAGGAGGGAGGAGGGAGGGGGCGAGGAGGAGCGAGGGGGGGAGCGCCACTGGAGCCATCGGTGGAGCTCCCTGTAGGGCCACGAAACGTGTGAGGGGTGTGCCGACACGGGGGTGTCGCCCACATGCAGGCGGCGCCACTGGGGCCTTCGGTGGAGCTCCCAACGGGGCCACGAAACGTGTGAGGGGTGTGCCGAAACGGGGGTGTCGCCCACATGCGGGCGAAACGTGTGAGGGTTGTTCCGAAACGGAGGTGTCGCCCACATGCGGGCGGCGCCACTGGGGCCTTCGGTGGAGCTCCCCATGGGGCCACGAAACGTGTGTGAGAGTGTGCCGGAACCAGGGTGTCGCCCACATGCGGGCGGCGCCGCTGGGGCCTTCGGTGGAGCTCCCAACGGGACCACGACACGTTTGAGGGGGTGCGCCGAAACGGGCATGCGGGCGGCGCCACTGGGGCCTTCGGTGGAGGTTCCTATGTGGCCACGAAACGTGTGAGGGGCGAACCGCAGCCGATGGAGATGACGGTGATGATGACGGCGATGATGATGACGATGGCGGTGATGATGACGGCCATGATGTTGATGATGATGATGATGATGATGATGATGATGATGATGATGATGATGATGATGATGATGATGATGATGATGATGATGATGATGGTGGCAATGACGATGACGATGGCGACCAATATGACGACAATTATGGTGATGATGCTGACGGTGATGTTGCTGATGTTGATTTTGATGTTGATGATGATAACGACGACGGCAACGACTAGGATGCTGATAATGATGGTCATGATAATGGGAGGAGGGAGGGGGAGGAGGATGAAGGAGTGAGTGAGACGTGGGGCGGTGTCTCTTATTCAGTGAGGACCCAGCACCACAGGACGGTTGGGGGGAACAAAACGCCTTTCATCCTGACAACTGACGCAACGTCTTAAAACAAAAACCCGTGGCGCTAAAACGCGAACCACATTTTGAAAACGGCCCGCCCTCCATCCGTGAAGCCCTGGCAAATTTCAAGCTTCAGGGCCATGAGTGCTAAGGCGAAGCGCCCAGCCCGCCCTTCCGGCACGTCCGGGGGTGTGACCGGGAGGAGCTATAGATCAGGAAAGCGTTGGAGGAACATGAAGGGAATCAAGGGGCAGGAGACGCATGATTCGGGGAGGGGGCCTGACATGGACATCGTGGACCACCCCCTGTCGGGGGCTGCTCAAGGTGCCCCTGGCCCACAGTGCCCCCAGCTTTCCATTTCCGCTCACATTTAGGGCCTCTGGGGCCCCCTGGGCATCGTCATGGGTGCTCTGGAGGTCGTGGGGGTCTCCATGGAAGTCCTGGGGGGCACTTGGGCCAGGGGCAGACACTTCTAGCAACACCCGACCCTGGCACTCACTTCGTGGCTACCGGAGCAAAACACATGTGGTAACACTGTTCTGTGACAACTTCTGCTTCGAACTATTGAGACCTCCCGTCGGTGCCTGTTTCCTGCCAAGCCTGTTCGCCATTCCAAGCGCGATTCCAATTCTAGACTAGTGAAAAGAGGTTGTCCCGACAAAGGGGCAAGAGAAGGAAGGATAACGAGTCACCGTCCGTGATGAGGGACTTTGGTACACAAGGACAGCAGTGCGCCCGAGAAAACTGCAGCTGCGCGTCGAGGGATGTATTTCCACTATGTTCGTCCTCCCCCGCTGGATCTGGCACGAACGTGGTTTGCAAAATCCTGCTTACTCCCCTGAACGAGAGAGCGGAGCCTGGAGTTGGAGGAGCGACCAGACCAGGAGGAGGGATGGGCGCGTGATAAGAGCGTGGTCGGGCTTGAGAAGAGGAGGAGGAAGAAAAAGGAGGAAAGGGACGAGGAGACAAAGGAAAAGTGAGCCATTCAAGATGAACCAAAAAAGAGCCGAGGCATAAATGTTCGACTGCCCGCGTTGAGTTCTTGGATCCGCGGTAGGCACCCCATCCCTGGCGCGCGGGGGTCGAGCCAGGGGCGGCGCCGGAGGCGCCGCCCAGGATCCACGAAATCCGCGCGGGCCGTCGACGGTCGATGTTCAGGTCGGGCATGTGCTTCCTCCTACAGGCGGATCTTGGAAGAGAAATATCGGGGAGACGTAAGACCCGGGTACGGGGGACTCGGAAATCCCCGACGAGGTCGTCAAAAAAATGACGAGGCCGAGCCTGCATTTTGACGAGGCCTCCCGCTGCAGACATCCCACGAAACTCCTCCTCGTCAAAATCCGAGGCGCGGTCGTCAAAAAACGATGGCGAACCCGAGTCCCGGCAAACCCGGGTCTTACGCTCCCCCGAAAATACAAGATGGTATAGAACGTTGCCACAGAGGGCACGGAACACCGCATGCCGAAGCTTCTCGAGCGGGGCGCGGCCGACGGAAGCGGCCAAGGATGGACCGAGGAGGCAGGGATGCAAGGGCACCCGTGGGACGGGTGTCCATCCTGATCGTGCGGCTCGACGGTACACTTCCCGCCCCCTCTTTGGGAGCCCTCGGGCCCAGGACGCGACGCGTCTGAGGCAAGAGGTGACGCGGCGACCTCACGCGGGCCGCCAGCGCGGCCAGCCACAGCGGAGAGGAGGGCGCGCACGCGCGACCCCACGCGGGCATGCGCGCCAATGTCGGCGCAGATGACTACGTACCAGACCAACCCAACCCGAAGACCCCAATTTCGGGTTGGGGGGGGTAAGGGTTCCACACGTCTTTTTTCGATGTTTCCCGACCCCCCCCCCACTGGAAATCGAGGGTAAATTGAGGCCTTCGGGTTGGGTTGGGGTGGTTTGGTGGGTGGTGAGCAGACAACGCTGTTTTTCTGCAGCGCTCGGGCGGAGGGGGGACACGGCTCCTGAAGGGAAGCGGGCCCCGGACCCCGGGGCCTCCCTCTGGGACCAAGTTCTCGCCCGGAATAGCTTCTGGCAGTCCCACAGGGTCCAGGGCGGGCCCAATGAGCTCGAAAACGGCGACGCCTCCTCCTCCTCCTCCTCCTCCTCCTCCTCCTCCTCCTCCTCCTCCTCCTCCTCCTGGTCGTCGTCGATGTCTTTCAGGGTCGGCGGCACCGGCTGTCAGGCCTTCACAATTGTTCCTGACAGTCCCAGGGTCCAGGGCGGGTCCAGTGAGCTCGAACACGGCGACAGGCTCGAGTCCGCTTCCCTCGTAAGGAGGAAGGTCACGCTACATAAGCACAATGTTCCGATCTCCGCGCAGAGTTCCTGGGTCGATGCTGGGCCCCCCCTGGCGGCGCCCTCTAAGGAGGCCCCTGCCTTTTCGAAAGCCCCCCCTGGCTTCTCGGAAGGCCGCCACCCTCGCGCCACCCCTTTCGTGGGCGCTGCCAATTCGTGGCGACCAGTTGGAGGGAGGAGGGGGTTGAGCGTTGCTTCGTGGGGGGGTGACCGATGATGGAGGGGCAGAGACACGTGCACCTTTCGTGCCCCTTTTGGGCCCCAGAGCACTTCTAAAATGCACGGCAAGGGCACCTGTCTACAACACCGCCATGTATCTCTGGACGCGCGAACTAGGTACGGGAAATATGCATACCATCTTGTCGGCTCTGGCGAATCGACGCTCGTCGACGCTAAATCGACGCTCACCGACGCTAAATCGACGCTGACCGACGCCAAGTCGGCGCTACCTCGTCGACTCCCAGACGCTACTCGACGCTAGTCGACGCGAAAGGCAGAACTACGAGGGTACACAAGGCTCCCACGATTTGCCACCGAACGAATCCCACCGCTCGGGTCCCCGACGGCGGAACCGCTTATCTGGAAGAAGAAGCAACTGCATGAGCATAAACGTTTGGTGCTGCGCGCGGGTGTCTTGGACCTGCGCTGGCGCACCAGGGGCGACGCCAGAGGCGCCGCAAGGGGCGGCCCAGCGCGGATCCAAGAAGTCCACGCAGAGCGCCAAAAGTTTATGCTTATTATGGCGCTCTTCTTTCTTTGATGGCCCCCCTCCTCCCCTCCCGCCCCCTCCTCCCCTGCCCGCCTACTGACCCTCCCCCCCCCTCCTCTCACCCAGATCCTCCCCTCCCCTCCTCCTCCTCCTCCCCTCCTTCCCTCCCCCCTCCTCCCCTCCTCCTCCACAATTACTCAACATGAATACTACTCTCCCTCTTCCCCTGATGGCGTGCTGGGAGTGGCCGACCCCCCCCCGCGTACCGTTTTTTTACACACAGGATTCTCGGGAGTTGGGTTTTCGCCTGCGTCTTTTTCCAAAATGCTGCTCTCGCTGAGGCGCTGGCCTCATTTCTGCTCCCGAATCGTTCCGAATCGTGCTCCCGCTGCAGCGTGGGCCTCATTTTCGGATCGGTGTTTGGCCTCCGTCGTTCAGGATGGCGTTCTCGCCCCAGCGCGGGCCTCTTTCTCGCGCGCCCATCCGCCCGCCACCACCGCGCCGCACCACCACCACCACCACCACCACCACCACCACCACCACCACCACCACCACCACCACCACCAGCACCCACAGCACCAGCACCAGCACCAGCACCAGCACCAGCACCAGCACCAGCACCAGCACCAGCACCAGCACCAGCACCAGCACCAGCACCACCACAACCACGCACACACGCACGCACGCACGCACGCGCACCACCACCCACTACGCACGCGCGCGCGGAGCCATAGGTCCGCTACGACACGCGTCCGCGGATAGAGAAAATCAGCGCCATGGTAAGGGATGGGAGGGAGGGGTAGGACGTCAGATATGACGCGAGCGCACCTAGCTTGCCCTCCTCCCCTCCCCTCTCCTCCCCTCGCCCAGATCCTCCTGCGTTGGCCGATTCTGGGCTGCCCGCGCCATCTCCACCTCGAGCGCCCGCGGCGGGGCCGCAACACGCGTCGCAGCACGCCACGAACCGGCCGCACCCGGCACTGGCCCCCCCCCGAGGGTCGCGCCCCGCCCGGCGCACAACGCCCGAGGGAGGGGGGCCGGCAGCGGATAGTACGCACAAGGACGAACGAACGAGCGAACTCCCGATCGGCTCAGAGGCCGTGTCCTGCTACAGGCAACGGGGCAGGGAAAATTTGGATGGCAACTCGCACTGCAGTGGCTATGGCAGGCCATCGGTCCTTCGATTGCGCCCGTAAGAAACAATCCAGTTGCCACTCAGACAACGCGCGAGCGTCCTCGAACTCAAATGTGCTTCTCTCTCGACGACGCACAAGGACACACCAGTACGTATTGAGTCGCACATGTCCTGTAGAAGGGCACTCCCGACTTCATACTGGTACGGTATGTCCGCCTTGGCGGCGTGCGTCCGGCCGGGACATATGGTATGACCCTCTTGTAGCGCATCGTTTCCCGAGCGGTACGGCCAGCAAGCGCCCGCCACGGAGCTTATGCTAGAAGAGCTCTCGGTGCGCGCGCCGCCCCTGGGGGGGGGGGGGGCGACGCGCGTATAGTAGAAGTGTGCTGGGATGGCGCCGAGCGGAGGCGGTTGGAGGGAGCCCTGACCCGAATTACCCCTGATGATGTGCGGCTCTGGACGCCCGAATTATCCGGGGTAACTCGGGTCCGGGTAAGTCGGGTTCGGATTCCCGAAGAACTAGCCCGAGTTAGCCCTGACCCGAATTACCCCTGATGATTCGGGGCCCTGAATGACGCCGAGCGGACGCGGTTGGAGGGAGCCCGGCGCCGCCAGCTTCAGGAAGAGGTCCACCGCCCAGAAGCGGACCTCGCGCGCCGCACCCCGGGCGCTCCACACGCCGCCGGCCCTCCCTCGCCTGCCTCGGCCAGGCGAGCACCACTCCTTTCGGGTCGGGCGAAAGGGGGGGATAGCAAAGGGGGGGCTTGAGAATCGGCTCACGTAGCTGATTTTCCCGGCGCCTCCCGGCGCCGGGAGGCGCCCATGCATCGAGGAAGGGGCCCCTCGGTGGGGCCGAAACCAGCTGCATGCAGCAGATTTCGACCCCCCCCCCTTTCCCAGTCCCCCCCTTTCGCCCGGCCCGATCTTTGTCCATGCCCTGCCCTGATGGTCCGCTACCGAAAATTTCCGGTAGCGCTCCGCAGAGATCGGTCGCTACCGAAATACCGAAATGTAGCGCCCAATACCGGTATCAGAGCGTTTTGAAATCCGCTATTTCAACGCCCTCAAACGAAGATCCGGTCGCTACCGAAATTCGGGGTGCGTCGAAATCGCTACCGAAAATTTCCGGTACCAGACCATCTGGGTGCGCTCGCCCCGACCCCGCGAGGAGCCGGAGCGGGGCACGTGTGCATCCTCTCCTGGTCTCCAGGGCTCGAGCTGAGCGGTGCTGTTCGCTTTTTCGCTTCGTCCTCGGCGTTCCTCGCTCTGCCTTCGCTCCGCCCGTGCTGCCGAACGAAGCCAGAACGAAGGCGGCCCACGACATCGCAACAAGACCCCGTTTCGCTCGAGCCCTGCTGGCCTCCGAGGCCACGCTTTCATCCACGCCCTGCTTCCCCAGGCGCCCAGAATGGCGGGCAGCAGCGCACGTCGATCGTGGTCGATCGTCGTCGTCAAATCCCCGTCGTCGTCGTCGTCGTCGTCGTCGTCGTCGTCGTCGTCGTCGTCGAGCAGGCAGAATCCCCAGGGTGTGAATCGAGCGTCGATCGTCAAATGGCGGCGCGCGCAGGGATCGGGCGCCATGGGTTGGACGCCCGAGCCCTCCGGGACAGCTCCTGCCCGGGGCAACTCTGCTCTGGGCCCCTGGCGCACGAGCCAGGAGCGACTCCTTGCCCTGACCCCTCCTCTTCCCTCTCCTCGTCCTCCTCCTCCTCCTCCTCCTCTCCTCTCCTCTCCTCGTCCTCGTCCTCGTCCTCGTCCTCGTCCTCGTCCTCCTCCTCCTCCTCGTCCTCGTCCTCCTCCTCCTCCTCCTCCTCCTCCTCCTCGTCCTCCTCCTCCTCCTCCTCCTCCTCCTCCTCCTCATCCCCACCCGATGACTCGGGAGCCTGACCGGGGGCGGCCTTCCAAGACGGCGGGGGAGATTCAGAGAGGGCCGGGGCCTCCTCAGGAGCCCTCCTGGCTCCCGAGGGAGGCCTTCTTGGAGGCCGCCAGGCCCTTTGTGCACGCCCAAACTCCTCTTCCATGGGGGATCGAAGAAGGATCGAGAAAGGATCGAGGGGATCGAGGAAGGATCGAGGAAGGATCGAGGAAGGATCGAGGAAGATCGAGGAAGGATCGAGGAAGGATCGACGAAGATCGAGGGAGGATCAATGAGGGATCGGGGAGCGAGGAGGACGGCCCTTTTCGGGAGGGTCGGGGCTTGACTGCCGGCCCACGGTGGCCCCATCCACTTCGTGCCACTTGAGGGCCCTGTCTTCGAGGGAGAGAAACATACGCAGCTTCAGAGCTGCCTCCCAGAGGCTCCGCCAGGCCACCAAACAGCTCCCACGACGCCCATACGACTCCCCAGATGTGAAACCCACGACGCCTCAACTGTGCACTCCCCGCCTCTTCTGGGTGTCGGCGGGATGGCGTGAGCCTCTCGGATCAATAGAAAAACACCGCGCGGGCTGCTTGGGTCGGCGCTGCACAGCCCTTCCACCAGCGCGAAGCGGAGGGGGGGGGATCGCTGGAGGCGCCGCTGGGGGGGTCGAGCGACGATACATGGAGTCCGCGCGGACCTTCGAACGCTTACGTCCATGTTTGCCATCGTGGGCCCCCTAAGAGCAAGGCGTTGAGTTGTGAGTGTGTGAGCTCGGCTGTGCAAGCTGCGTGGTGGTGGAAGCTATGTGGCGCAATCTTGGTGCAAGCTACGCGGTGCAAACCGCGTGGTGCACGCCAGCATTGGGGGCGGAGGCGCATGTAGAAGCGCACATTCGTGGTGCAAATCTGCGGCGCGGAGATATCCGGTCGGGCTCCCAAGGTTTGCTGTAGGCTTGTGCAGACGTTTCTTCTCCGGTTCCTCCTCGACCTCTCCGTGGCCCCATCGCCCCCACACCCGAAACCCCTTCCGCCCCCTCCACCTTGCCGCCCCTTCGCATCGGCCCCGCTCGTGGCCTGGGTCGCCGTCCCCATTCCCTGTTCCCCCACCCCGTCCGCCCATCCGCCCATCCCCAATCCTCCTCCTCCTCCTCACCCTCCTCCTTCTCCTCCTCCTCCTCCTTCTCTTCCTCCTCCTCGTCCTCCTTTTCCTTCTCCTCCTCCTCCTTCTCCTCCTCCTCCTCCTCCTCCCTTCTCAGACCCCCTCGCGCACAGAAACACCAATCTGGAGGTCTTCAGCGGATGTAAAGCTCCAGTCGGGCCCTCGCTCGGCCACAGGGGGAAGAGGGTAGGGACTTCACTTCCACGGAGTTGAAACAATCAAGACATTGGATGTCGGGATCCCCCCCCCCGCCATCCGCCATCCGCCCCCCCTCTCCCCCCGACGTGCTTCCGCGCCGCGCGATGCTGCGAGAGGGCTTTTCCCTAGGGTTCATGCCCCCGACTCCTCGTCCATTTCGCCTCCTGCTTCTCTTCGTCCCTCTTCCTCCTCGTCTTCCCCCTCGTCTTCCCCGTTGCCCGTTCCCCCTTTCCCCCTTCCCTTCCTCCCCGCCTCACACTAAAACAGTGACGAACAATCCGCCATGCGATCGCACCCAAGACCAAATGACTCTGCGAAGTACCCAACCCAATGGCAGTAAGTGACAACAGGAGCTGGTCCAGAAAGGTCTGGCAAATAACAACGCAGGATCTGTCACTGGCTGTGCAATATCTGCCAAGCGCCCGCGGCACGCGACTTGCAGGACAACATAACAGAAGAGGACTGACAACCCAGACTCGGGGAGCGGGAACCAGGGGCAGGACACACAGGATGGAAGCGGGGCCGCACAGCTCACGCGACAGCCGCAGCGAAACGGCGAGATAGGAATAATACGGCAACAAGGAAGCAGGATCTGGCCATCGCTCGGACGTCCATTCCCTGTGCTTTTTTCGGTTTCGTGCTTGGTTTTTTCGCCAAATGATCAAGGATGCTCCTCGATGGTCACCGCCGAAGGAAACATGCACACGTCCGAGCGATGCCAAGAGGACGAGGAGCGAGGGTGGCGGTCATGTTCCAGCGGCACGCTGGGCAAGCAGCGCGGCCCGCGCCATGTCACTTCGGCGCATCAGAGGACCAGCTGTTCATAACCTTGCCGTCGCTCGGACGTCCATTTCCCATGCATTTGTTCGTCCTCGATGGTTCTAACCGAGAAAAATTTACACGTCCGAGCGATTCCAAGCGGAGGAACCACACCGCCCACCAAGCTCTCCGCTTCCTGCCCGCACCGCGCGGCGCGGGAGCTGGACGCCCGCAAGCGCGCCGCCAGGTCTTCGGGAACCGCGGGACGTCACTCCGCTGGACCCCCCAGGTGCCCTCGAAAGCGGCGACGGTTTCGCAGATAGCATCCCCCCCAGGGATGGCGAGGTTCGATTGAGGTCCGCGTGGGAGGTCGCTCCGCTGGACCCCTCCAGCAGCCCTCGAAAGTGGCAGCGGCTTCGCAGATCGCACCCCGCAGGGATGGCGAGGTCACGTAGGACGGCGAGGTAGGTAAGGAGACAGGAGAGGAGAGAAGGAGGGGAGAGGAGGAGGAAGGAAGCGGGAGGCAAGAAGGTGGCGACCGCTGTGCTGTCCAAAACGAGAACCCAACGCAAGAGAGTTGAGAAATCCGCCGGCCCCACGGGCCAGCAGCGTGCTAAAATCTCCAGGAACTGGTAAACCGTCTTTCTAGCTCGCGCCCGCGAGGCGGCCCCTGGGAGTCGGCGGCCGAAAAATAGCCCAGGCAGGTCCCCGGCAAGCTCCCATCAGAGATGGTTTTTGCTCCCGGGCGCCGCCCTCGGGGCCTCAGAAGAGCCGCAAGAGCGGCCCCGAGGCGCCCAATATGCCCTCGCGATGGTCCAGGGGCCTCTGGGCCACGACAAGATCGCCCCAGGACGCCCAGGTTGCCCCCCCAGACGGCCCAAGAGACCCCAAAGAAGCCCCAATAGCGCTCCAAGAGCCCGAAGAGGGCCCAAAGAAGCAAAACTCCTTGCTGTTTCTGGTGTTTTTTCTCTGTTGCTCGCGTTCTCGCGTTTTCGGGCTCCGACGCTCCAAGATGGTCCCTGAGGCCCCCAAGACCGCACCAATACGGCCCGAGAGGCCCCCAAGAGGGGCCCAAGACGGTCCAGGAGGGCCCGCAAAAAAAGGCGCCAGAGGCGCCCAAGATCGCCCAAGAGGGCCCCAAGACCGAAGGAGGCCCCAAAAGGCCCTCAAGAGAGCCCAGGAGGCCCCCTGGAGACTCTACGAGGCCCCCAAGAGGCCCAGCAAGACACCCCAAGAGGTTCCCAAACGGCCCCCCAAAGCCAAGCAAACGCTTGCGACAAGCGGAATGAGCGAAGAGATTGGTAATCAAACAGAAAAAGGGGGAATAGAGAAACAACAAACGGCACAAACAGAAACTTTTGACGCTCCGTGCGGATTTCTTGGACCCGCGCCAGAACCTCACTCCCTGTCGCGCGGAGCGCGCCAGGGGCGGCGCCAGAGGCGTCGCCGGAAGGTCGAAGCGCAGATCCAGGAAACCCGCACGGACCGCCAAAAAATATGCTTATGCTGGAAACAACTGCGGGATTATCAAACACATGGAAGGAGAGGAAGGGGAAGGGCAAGACTGCCCCCCCTCCTCGGCTACACGCAGGAGCGACCCCGGGCAAGTGACCCTTAGCGCGCGCGGCTTGAAGGGGGGACGCGGGCTGGCCAAACCTGGGCGCGCAAGCAGCTGCTGCCGCTTCGCGCTCGGCGATCGGAGGATCCAAAGATCGGGGCCCGCACCATCGGGAGCGGCCAAAAGGGGGGTGGCCAAGAGGGGGGGGGTGCAAATCATGACCGGCGGCATGTGCGCGGCCCAGCGGGGGGGCCAGGGACGCAATGAAACAAGAAGGGGCGCCACGAAATCTGCGGAGATATCATGGCCCGCGCCATGATCTCCCCCCCCCCCCTAGGCATCACCCCCCTCTTTTCCGCCCCCGAACCACAGAGGGCCACTCCTGCGGCCGGTCACGCTCTGACGTCTGGCCGACCTCCCCCCCGGTCCTCGACCTGCTCTCCTCCCCTGCCAGGCCCGAGCTGCACCGCACCGCAGAGCCGAGCCGCATCGGCCACGGCTCGGACCGCCAACGACTCGCCCCGCAGCGGCTCCAGATCGGATCGCCGCGCCGGGCCTCCCACTGGCCGGGTGCGGCCAGAAGTGCCCCTGGCCCAAGGTGCCCCCAGCTTTTCGCTCCGTTTTGAGGCCCCCGAGGTCCTCTGGGCCTCGTGAAGGGTGCACTGGAGGCCGCCCAGGCCCCCCCCGAGAATCCTGGGGGCACCTTAGGCCAGGGGTACTTCTAGCCACACCCGAACTGGCCCCGGGTGCCGAGCCGGACCGCCGCATCGCGCATCGGATATCGAGTCGCGGCCCCCACGGGCGAGAGTCGGACGGCATCGAATCGAGGCGTCGGCGGCCCTGCTGCTGGCCCCCCCCCGCTCTTCGACGCCCTGGCCCCCCCTCCCCTGGAAAGAAAAAAAAAAACATGTCATACACCTGCACGTTTGGCGCTCCGCGCGGATGTCTTGGATCCGCGCTGGACCCCCCTCGCTGGCGCGCGGAGCGCGGCGCCGGAGGCGTTGCCCGGGGGGCCCAGCGCGGATCCAAAAAATCCGCGCAGAGCGCCAAGAGTTTATGTTGATGGCGTTGTTCTTCTTCGATGGCCCCCCCCCCTCCTCCTCCTCCTCCTCCTCCTCCTCCTCCTCCTCCTCCTCCTCCTCCTCCTCCTCCTCCTCCTCTCCTCCCCTCCTCCCGGCCCGCCGTTCCACTTCGACGCCCTGGCCCCCCCCCGCCCACCCTCCTCTTCCTCCTCCTCCTCCTCCTCCTCGTCCTCCTCCTCTTCCTCCTCCTCTTCCTTCTCCTCCCCTCCCGCCCACCCTCCGACCTCGCGCCGCACCCCCGGGCGTGCGGCCGCGGGCGCGGGGCCGGGCTGCTGGCGAGGAGCGCCGCCGAGCCCCGCCACCTCGTGCGGCGCCAGGGGGGGGCAGACAAAACCGCTCTCTCTCTCTCTCTCTCTTTATCGCGTCGGGCGAGAGAGGGGGGGTAAGCAAAGGTTTGGACGCCCGACATGGGTCCCGAAAAATGGGTACGATGCCCAACAACGAATGTTGTCCCAAACCAAGAGCGGCCGCTGTTGGGCAGGCGGCCTTCTGCCTTAAATGTACACAAGCCGCGGCGACACCGACAGCGAGTCCTGTTCAAAATGAACAGAAACCGCTGTTGGGCATTGTACCCATTCTTTCCGTACCCATCTCGCTCGTGCAGAAAAGGGGGGTTTTGAGAATCAGCTCGCGTAGCTGATTTTCCCGGCGTCGCCCAGCGCTGGAAGGCGCCCATGTATCGAGGAATGGGCCCGGCGGCGGGACCAAAACAAGCTACATGCAGCAGATTTCGTGACCCCCCCTTTCCCACCCTCCCCCTTTCGCCCGACCTGATTATCCCCGGCGTGCCGTTAAGCATCTGAAGATCATTGGAAAACGTGGAGGCTCGATTGCAGCTTGTGTACCGATCGCACTCAGCAGCAATAACTTGATGCTTTGCGATCTGTTGTAGAAGCGTAGGGCTTTGTCCAAATATTAAAGGGGAAGCGGGGCTTATCGGGCCCTGGGAACGACAAAACCGTTCTCTACCAGTTCCATTTTGCCATGTGTCTTGCCAACTTCGACGCCGTGTGTTTGCCAATTCCGTCGCCGTTGTTTTGCCGGTTGCGGCTCCGGCTTCTGGATAATTATTCTCTCCAAACCGCTCGAGCCGAAACGATATCGGCCCGTCCAACATGTCTCTCGGGAGGCTGCAAATCTACCCAGCCCTCCCGGCCTTCCGCGCTCCTTCCGCGTGGGAGGCCGCCGACTCTTACGGCCGGCACAAAGTCAGGGGAGCGTGGCGATCCACCACTCCTTAGAATCAAAGGCGCGCGGCCAAACGCCGCCGCCAGCTCAAGCGCTCTGAGGGATGTCTCAATCATCGCTCATCCATCCAGCGCTGCCCGCAGGGCCAGTCGGCTCCGACCTGCTCTCGCCACGATACCCATCATCGCCAGGAACTTCTTGATCAGGGGTCCGTCCAGGTGCTTCGTACCGATGTCACTGATGTTCTCGAGACCTGCGATCTTGTTGACGCGCAGCTTCTTCTGCTGCACAGCCCTCTGCAGCCACAGCAGAGGTGTATGAAGGTGTCGAGCTCGTCCGACTCCACGACGTTCTGCGATGCCCTTGCCCGCCGTCGCGTCGCACTTCAGCGCGATCTCGAGGTCTACACCCATGTCCTTTGCGAGAGTCTCGAGGCCGAGCCCGATGCTGCCGCCCTTCACCAGCGCGTGGAACTCCGCTTCTCCAGTAGATAGAGCATTGAACCCTTGGTTTGCCGAACTACTTCTAATCCAATGCTTCCCAATCACCACCGTACACGATGAAGTAGACTTACGTGTTCTCAGGCAGCCTGCGAAGTCACTGTCCGTATAGACTTGAGCAACTTGCCGATCTGCCTGCCGTGGATACTCAACCACCAGCCTCGGGGTACCTACGAGGTACCGACCGATCCGTTTCATGGCCTGCCATCCGCCAATCGTCGGATCCTGCATCGCTCGTGCTGATTCCTTCGCCGCGTACTGCAGATCAGGTCGATCCTGCGCCAGGTATTGGATACGCATGCACGCTGAGCGGTATATGGCCCGCTCTCGTCCTTGTAGTGCTTCTCCATCCAGCTCCTGCCTCTTGATCCCCGGCGCGACCACTGGCTTGCTCTCTACCCTGCAGGCCCAGCTGGGCCAGGATGATCTCCACGTGCCTCGGGTCCGCCTCGTAGTCGATCTTCTCCACGTCGTTGCCGTTCGGCCTGACCCACCTCGCGATGCGATTCAGCACCGCGATCTCGTCGATGTCGCCGCTCTGCGGGTCAGGTCCCAGAACCCCTCGTACCTTCGCGATCAGGTGCTCGCCGAGGTTCTCCGTGAAAGCCGTTGAATCCTTTCGCCCACCGAGCGCCGCGAAGTCGTCGCCGTGCCTCCAAGCGACCAGCTTGCCAACCTAGTAGATGCAAGGCGAGAACTCGCCCTGCTTCGACTTCAGGATCCTCAGCATGATGTCCTCCGCCTTCAGGTCGAATGATGAGCCGGCGTCTCTCAGCCCATACATGGCCTTCAGCAGCAGCCAGCACTCGTCATCCTTGCACTCTAGATCCTCCGCTGGCGCCTTCAAGTACACTGGCCTCTGCAGCTCCGAGTGTAGATGCGCTCTTGAGATATCGATGAAGGTCAGCACTCGAACCTCATGCCGCCCTGTCATCGCCATAGACAGAATCATCCTCAGGCCCTCCAGCAGCGGGGTTGCCGCGAAGGTCGCCGCAGCGTCCTCAGGCCCAAGGGTGCTCAGCTTCCGCGTCTCTTTCGCCACCAACCGACTCCGCAGTTCTGGTTTCTGATCGTCGCCCTTGTTGGTGTCAACCCAGCCGCTTGGAAGCGGCTTGGTTCCCGTCACTTGCAGCGCCTCGGAAATCTTTCTCCTCTCAAACACTCCGAGCCTGCTCATGTAACCCATCTCGTCCATGCGCGCGTTCTTGACGCCTACCGGGTCCAGCACCGCACCGCTGATCCCGTCGTAGAAGGTCGCCATCTCCTCCTCGGTCGCCTGGTCCAGAATCTCTGGCTCCTCCGCGGTCTGACCAACTTCGAACGCATGGATCCCTTTACCGATCTTCAGCTCGTTCCTGATGCCCTTCAGGATTGCCTTCACCAGCCCTGAGGGGTACCTCTCAGCCGCCTTCGCCCTCCTCGCCAGGAGGTGCACATGCTCGTGGGAGCCGTCGCACACGATCCCCACCTGCTTCGCCACCTCGCGGTTATTCGTCATCCAGCCCGTCGGCTTCGCCGCGAGGCCCTCCGAGCCGTCCGGCCAGTATGACTTGGCTCCGAACACACACTGGCTGCCCTTGACCACTATGACGCCGGGCAGCTCCCTGATGCTCTTGATGCACTCCTCTTTCCAGCTTGACGCCGTCCAAGGGTGCTCGAACAAGAACCACTTCCCCCTCGAATGCTGGTAGGCCGCCAGCTCCATACAGAAGCCCAGGAAGACCTTGCACTCCGCGAGCAGCCTCTGAAACTTGACCTCATCGCGCTTGCCGCTCGCCTTCAGCAACTCCATCAGCTGTGAGAACGGGGCGCATGCAGGAGACATGATGAGGAAGACAGGGTCTCCCTCCTCAATCTCCGCTCTCGCTCGCTTCCTCTGCTCCTCGAGCCGGAAGTCCCAGCCCGTCCTGAGGTCCATCGCCACTCCTGGCTTCAGATTGAACTTTGGAGCTCCCTTGGCGAACTCCCCTGGGTTGAACACCTCCTGCAAATCCAAGCTGTCGAGACCGAGCTGTTCCAGCAGCGCGCCGATCTCCGCCGCGTCGCCCATGGCCACGTCCGCCGCCGCCGGAGCGCTTCCCGACGCAGTCCCAGATGAGCTTGGCGCCCCTGGTTCACCGACTGGTCCCCGATCACCGACTCGTCCTCGCTTGGCTCCAGGTTCTTCATCTTCACTTCTCCCGGGTCGCTCACCAGCTACTCGCCGTAGGTGAGCCTCTGCCACCCGAGCTCCACCGCCGAACGTCTGGTCGTCCTCCATCGCTTTCTCGATCCTGGTTCGGCATTCCTCGTTGTGCATGATCGCGCGCTGGTTGTCCCGAGCTGCTGCGCAGCCCCTGCAACCTGGGGCGTAGCCGTAGCGCCGCAGCTCCACGTCCTTCCTGATGTAGACCCTCCTCGGAGCAGGAGGACCCACAGGTCCTGGAACAGGGGGCAGATCCACGTCCGGCACCACCTGATCCGCCACCACCTTCGCCATAGCGGGTGGTACTTCAAGTCCTTCACCTTCTTGGCCAGGAACTGGTCGCCACGGCGCGCCCTGCAGCTCTGAGAAAGGAGCCGTCGCTCCTCGCTGCCAATGGCATCCTCTTGACGCTCCTGGCTCTCATCACGCCTTTCGGCGTCGCCACGTACACCTCGTCGTTGTCGTCGCGGATCCCGTAGAAGACGCCCTCCAGCCACCTGCCCACCAGCCTCGACTCCCTCTTGCCGACTGGCAGGTAGAACACCTTCTCGCCGAACGCCGGGAGCGCCCTCTTGTAAGCGCGCCCCTTCCTCAACTCGTGCGGCGCGCGCCCGTCCGAGCCCACTTGACCTCGATTGTGGACTGCTGCGCCGTGCCTCACCATCCACGGCAGGCGCGGATGCTTCGGGCCGATCGTGACTCCGTGCATCTCCTCCACCGCGTGCTTGAGGGTCCTCGTCAGGCCCTTCATATCCCTGACAGCTCCTTCAGCTAGACCGTTCGACTGCGACTCTCCAACCGCCGAGGTCTCCAGCAAGCACTCCACGCCGTGGTCCTTCTTGAACTTCTTGACGGCCTCGTCCCTCAGGGCGATGATGCTCGGCTCGTTGTCGCACCTGAAGACCACCTTCTTGTAGCCGCCATTGACCGCGAACTTCACCAGCATGTCGGCGCTGTGCGCGTGCGCCGTCCCCTTGCAGGTCAACACCTCCGCGCCCGTGTACCTGTGCAGCGAGCCCCTCATGAACGGAATCGGGGCCGCGTCCTCGCCGCTGCCGACCGTAGTCAAACGCCACGACTGGTATCGCATCCTCCGTGTGGCTCCTCGTCACATGAGGTTCAGCTCGCCCGCGTCCTGCAACGCAGTGCCTGCGCCAAGCTCGATGCGGCGTGTGCGACACTTCGTGGTCCTCTCGTTTCTGCTGGGTCGGCTCGCGCGGTCTCCGCGCCGCTCTCACTCCCGGCCGCTCCCGAGCAACCACCGGGGCAGGTGGTGGAGGTACCGCTTCTGGTTGAACAGGTTCTTGGACTGGTTCTGCCGCTGCTGCCGCCGCAGCTGCCTGACTCGATCCAGCTCCATCGCCTGCGTCGTCGCTCCTCACCATGCAGATCTCCTTCTGCTTCTTGCCGCTCGCGCTGGGCTTGGACCAGGCCTCCGCGCGGCCGATCACGTCCTTCGCCTTGCTGTGCGGCATCAGCTCCATCTCCATCTCGTGCACGTTGATGCGCCTCTGGAACGGTGTAATCACCCCTGTCGACTTGTTCTGCGCGTAGCTGCCGCCAGCATCAAAGACGACCCGATGGCCTGCGTCGACCATCTCCGAGACAGAGGCGAGTGCCTTGCTGACCTTCGCGACCCTAGCCTTGATGCCTCTCACCTGCGCCGAGCCGTCCGAATTGCGCACCGACCCGATGAACTCCTTGGTGCCCTCGTCGGCCACCCAGCCGCCGTTCGCGGTCCTGTAGCCTCCACCCTTCGCACTCATGTCATTCTCGTGCGTCGGGTAGTCCGGCGCTAGCTCTGATGGCACGACCGTCGTAGCTGCACACGAATCGACACCGAGCACCATCTTGCGGGAGCCCACGCCGTGTCCGCACCGAGCCTGCTCAGCTCGTGCACCAGCTTGTCGTCCACCAGGCCGCCCTCGATCAGCAGGTCGAAGGCCTTCTGCGCCGCGCCCTTCTCGTCGATCGTGAACGGCGCGAGCCGCAGCCCGCGCAGCGCCTTCTCGGGTTCCGGCTCCATCATGTGCAGGTTGTTCTTCTTCTTCTTCGGGCCGTCCTTGGACGTGTGCCCGTGCTCCTGGCAATTGAAGCACTTCGGCCCCTTGCCGGTCTTGCCGCCCTTTGCCTTTCCGCCCTTCGAGGAACCCTTCGACTCGGAGTCGCCTCTCGACTTGCCCTTGCTGTCCAACTTGCCTTTGCCTGCTCCAGCTCCGCCCTTGCGGTGCCGGCAGTTCTTCTCGTCGTGGCCCTTGCCGTTGCAGATCCTGCAGCGCCCCTTGCCACCCTGGTTGTTGAGCGCTGAGATCCATCGGGGCCACTCCGCTGTGCGCTGCCGCCGCTGCGGCCTGGGCTCGTCGAACATTCAGGATCTCTTCCCTGAACTTGGGCCACTCCTTGAGTCTCTCCGCATTCATGATCATGTGCTGCCTCAGCGGGGACTCGGGCAACTGCCTCAGCACGATGCCAACCTTGATCGCGTCCGAGAGGGTCTCCTCCGACGCCGACTCGCACAGGCTGATCTCCCTCTCGAAGGCTTCCAGGCGTATCATCATCTCACCACTGAAATCCCAGGCAAGCAGCGTCATCAGCTGCCCAGCGTACCTGCTCGCCGCTTGAGGCTCGAATCGAAGGTGTAGTTGTCGCCAGGCTTCGAATCCCTCGAGCTTGCCCGCATTCAGCACTACGTCGAGCGCCTGGCTCCTGCACGTCTGGATGAGCCAGTACCCCAACGTCCTGGACAACTGCATGTCTCCGGGCTCGAGGTTCGTCATCAGCACCGGTTCTGCCTCTCGCTTCGCTCTGGCCATCGCCGCCGCCATGTTCGGGTTCGTCGCGCCTGCGAACGCCTCGAACACCACCGACCAGTCTCTCCATGGCGGCTTGGCCCCATCGAACATCTCTGGTTTGCCTATCATCTTCATCTCCGCGGCCATCCTCTCAGGTCCAGGGTCTGGCACTTGCGCCGCCGTTGCGGCTGTACCCTGCTGCCCAAGCACCTGCTGCGCACGCTGCGCAGCCTCCTGCGCCGCTCTACTCGCGGCGTCCGCGTCCGCTCGTGCTAGCCGTAGCTCTCCCTGCACTTGCTCGAGAGCCTGTCGAAGCGCCTGGACGTCCTGGACCGTAGCTGCCATCTTGACCCTGTCTCTTGATCGTACACAGATGCTGTCCGAGGTGCGCCCAACAGTGCCTCTTGAAGGCCAGCCTCACCAGCCGCGCTGCCAGTGAGACCCACACCTGGGTCGTGTCCTTCTCCGACCGCACCTCAAAATCGTTCTCGCCCTCGTCTGGATCCACGAGGCTGGTCGCCTCCAGCGCCCGTGCTCTGGCCTGCGCCTCGGAGCCCTCCGCGGGCCTGGCCCGCCGCGGCTCTATCGCAGGCTGCCGCTCTCGGCGCTGGGGGCGCATCCGCTCACGCTACCATGGATAATTATTCTCTCCAAAAAGCTCGAGCCGAAACGATATCGGCCCGTCCAACATGTCTCTCGGGAGGCTGCAAATCTATCCAGCTTCAATCCTGGAGCTGCGTTTGTTGCCGCTTCTAGTCGCCATTTTTGTTGCCGTGTCCATGCTCAAGAGACACATTTTCGGAAACGGTGAAGAAACGGCCCTGCCGTCTCCAGGCGGGGGGCTCGGTGGCAGTTCAGTGGAGCCTCCATCTCGTTCGCACTTGAGAGTCGACGCTGGTCGATGCTAACCGGCGCCGAATCGACGCTGCGTCGACGCTCGGCGCTAGATCGGCGCTGATCATCGATTACCAGGCGCCAGTCGACGCTACTGCACTCGAGTGACGGACTTGGGAGGATATACGTGGCTTCCATGACTTGCTATTATCAGCAAGGGGGAGGACCAGGGGATACCTGAACAGCAAACAACTGCACAACATGGATTTCTCCGAGGTCGCGCGGATTTCTAGGGTCTGCAATCTGCGCTGGGCTGCCTTCCCTGGCGCGATGAGTGCGCCAGTGGCGGCGCTGGAGGCGCCGCCAAGGAGGCCCAACGCAAATCCAAAAAGTCCGCGTGAACCTCCGCGAACTTATGCTTATGCAGCCTCCTCTTCTTCGAGAGGGGCTTGCCCAGACTTTTCCTTGGAGTGCCTAGAGGCCTTCCAGATAGGGTCCGAGTAGACGGGGTCGAAGGACCGTGCCGCATCGTCGATGCATTGGCGACGTCGGCGAAGCCTCGGCGCCGTCGGCCTGGAGAACGTCGGACGCCACATCGAGCTGCATCGCCGCTGCATCGGCGATGCGGCGGAATCTTCCGACCCCATCTGCTCCGACCTCGTTTGGGAAGCCTAGGGTGACACAGGCTTGCCCAGACCTCTTCGCTTCGTGAAAACAACGCCGCTGAATTGTATCCGGCATCGGCGAAGTACTCCGCCTCCTCCGGCGACGATGGGGAGAGGAAGAGAAGAGGGTGAGGGGAGAGTCAGAGCGTGAGAGGGCGGTTGTCGAAGCATGACCAACTGCCTCGGACCCGCGAGGGAGGAACAGCAGGCTGAGGAGGGGAAGGAGGATATATGAGGAGCGGGAGGATGAGGAGGATGAGGAGGAGGAGGAGGAGGAGGAGGAGGAGGAGGAGGAGGAGGGGGAGGAGGAAGGAGGAGGAGAAGGAGGAGGAGGAGGAGAGGAGGAGGAGGAGGAGGGGGAGGAGGGGGGGAGGAGATGGAGAGGAGGAGGATGAGAGAGGATGAGGAGGAGGAGGAGGAGGAGGAGGAGGAGAGGAGGAGGAGGAGGAGGAAGAGGAGGAGGAGGGGGAGAGGGCCCCCAGAGACCTAGAGGTATTACCCCCCCGCTGTGATCCATGGGGGCCTGGGCGGCTGGCCCCACGAGACCCAAGCTCCCCCAAAGGGCCCCCCAGAG